AATTTCCACCTCCTCTATATATACTCATTAGTTGAGGGTGGAGGCTAGGTTAGATTTTGAGAGGTCAGATTTGAGAGAACAAATTTGAGAGAATTATTTGATTGTTTGAGCAAAGCTTTATGCTTTGCATTTGAGAGATCTCTAGAGAGAGTTTGAGTGAAACATCTCTAGGGTAGTTTGATTATCACCATTGTTGGAGAGGTTGAGTTAACCACCACATTGGTGTATTTGATTATTTGTAACCATTATTTTCATAGTGGATTTCTGATCTGGACTAGGTCCCGTGGGTTTTTACTTCTTCATTCAAGAAGGTTTTCCCACATTAAATCTGATTATGTTCTTCTTATCTCTCTCCTGTTTTGAGATTTTTTGTTTTGATATTTCCGCTGCGCTGCCTGACCTGGTGAAGTTCAGGCTGAGGTATTGCCTAGATCTGAGATCAGGATCTTATTGATTGACTTCCGCACAAAGGCCCCTGAGCCGAGCTTGAGGGAACCGAGTTTTCCCAACAAAATAAATGCATACCCTTAGTTTTGGTGGATATATAAGAGGTGATGACATGCATATCTAGAAGCTTTGAGGTTGTGCATTTAATTAAGGGGTTTATGTGCGTAATGTTACAAGACCAAACTTCCAAATTCCTGCAGACACAATGTCTATGGGGTCTGCAGTGGTTTTTTTTTTAAAAGAAAAAAAAAGCTAGTGTTGTTTTCTATATATATGTAGAAAAAAAGTTTATGTTCCTGTAACAACTTTTCAATTTCCCTTTAATTAAATAGAAGAAAGATGCATGGGCAAGTGCTTGACTCATGTACTTAAATTAAGAAGAGGTGTGCCAACAAAGGTGAGCACAATTGGCTAAGGGTTTGGTCCATACCCCTTAAGGATGTGGGTTCAAACTCCGCTGTCCGATGTAAGGACTTTGTTGTGGGTGATATGTAATCCCTCTCAGAAATTCTCAAAGAGATTGGAGGGTCTTCTCTGACCCTAGTAAGATACTGGTGTCTAATCCCGCTTAAACTTTCTGATATTCAAAAAAAAAAATTAAGAAGAGGTGTGTTGTTGACTTGTTGCCGGTGAACCTAATAGAGGACATGAGTACGGGCTGTTTAATTAGAGGAAATTTGCAGGGGAAGTCTTATTCTAATATAGAATCGTACACAATCAGAATAACCGACTTGAATGTGAGATAATGGAACAGGCTTATAATAGTCTAGCATAGCAACTGATATATTAAAAAAGCTCGTTATCAAAAAAAAAAAAAATGCTTTGTGCATTGGTTACTTATCCATGTTAATTATACTTAAATATAGGAATATAAAATATTTAGAATCATATTATATATGCGGAACAAGTTTCTTTACGGTTTATTTTAAGAGAGAGGATATTCTTATTACCAAAATTTTCTACTACTAACTTACTACCTATTTAATCACTATTGATTCAAAGAGAGAGAATGCTAAAAACTTTTTTGAAAAAAGAGAAAATGTTGATCCAATGGTGATTAGATAGGTAATGAGTTGGTAGTAAAAAATTTTGGTAGTAAGAATATCCCTCCTCTTATTTTAAATGGTAAAGAGTCCTTATAGTTATTTTTTTTTTTGTTTCTCACATAAAATATTAAAAATAAATATAAAGTAAAAATAGTTTAGAACGTTAGATTTGGACTCCACCAAACCTAAATTTGAAAAAGAGTAGCTAATCCGCGTTTCATAAATAAGTACAATATGAAGCTTCTCCCATCACTGATCAGTCCCAACTGCCAGTCCTTTCCTTAAATCTGCAACATTGACTTTGCTTTCTAAATGATGGGTACCTATGCGTACGAGGATGAAAACTGCGAAGCGTGATCCAATAGTGATTCTGGAAATTCCTGCTGCTTTCGTTTCTTTGGATAAAGTTGTTTCATATGAACCGAAATGCATGGTTGTTTCTCATATTATCTTTTCATTATAAGGTGAGAAAAAAGAAACATATTTACACTGAAGAGAGTAATTCATTATGATCTACTCTCATATCATATATATCACCAATTAATTAAATTTGGTTTTGTTCATTTTTTTTAATAAAAATAAATCTGTATAGTTTGGTTGTCGTTTTTTATTTAAGAAATCGAAGAAAACTAAACTAAATTTACACTGTGTTTTATGTGTGTACCAATATATATATATATATATGTGTGTGTGTGTGTGATAGGTTATTCTTACACTGATGTAAGAATAATAAGTTTTACACTAAATCTTGGCCACTAATTTGCTTGTATTTAACAGTCCACATATTTAGTAAATCAGAACTGCAACCAAGGTTAAGAGTGTAATTTACACCGATATAAAATAATCTGACCATATATATATATATATATATATATGGGTTAAACATTTCTATAGCCACTTTTATATAAGATTGTCCACAGCTATCCCTTTTTAATTAAGTCTGACCAATAAGACATAAAAATTACATTTTCTCTCTCCATCATGTCAGCCGACAATGTCTGAGGAAATAAAAAAATAGTTTTATTGTTATAACTATGTCTTACTGATCAAATTTAGTTAAAAAGGATAATTATAAATAATGTTATCTAAAGTGGCTGTAGATATACTTTTTCATATATATATATATATATATATATATATATATATATATAGGGTCAGGATCATTTTACACCAGTGTAAGTTACATTCTCAATCTTGTCTGTTGATCCCACTTATATCTAAGGGATCTAATTTTTTAGTAATGTGAGCCATTGGATACATGTGAATCAATGGTCAAGATTGAGTATAAGACTTCTAACTCTTACATCGGTGTAAGAATATCTTGCCTATATATATATATATATATATATATATATATATATATATATATATATATATATATATATATGATCCTTTGACACCGGTGTCAAATTTGAAGTTTGACACCTCATCTGAGAGCCGTCAGATAAAAAAAGATCAACGACTCTGATTTGTAAGCATGTTATACCATTGATTTTTTTTGATTTAACGGCTCTCAGATGAGTTGTCAAAGGATCCTACCTTATATATATATATATATATATATATATATATAAGAAGGTTATATTTACAAACTTTTTGTTTACAAACTACACTAAGTATTACCGGTCACACTTCAATCAAGAGTGTATGACCGGTCATACTTTGTGTAATTTGTAAAAAAAGTTTGTAAGCAGATCTTTCCCTATATATATATAATTATTTCTACAGTCGCTTTACGTACAACAATGGCAGGGGTATGGTTATAATTTTCCACATTTAATGCTTTCATATTTAGTGTGGTTATGATTCCCCATATTTAATGTTTTTACGTATATATATGGCAAGTATTTGACTGTTGCACGTACAACAGCTGTAGAAATGTAAACTTCATATATATATGTGTGTGTGGAGGGTTATATTTAAAATCTTTTTTTTTTACAAATTCGTACAAACTACATTATATATATATATATAGGGGAATGACCCATTTACAAATTTTTGTAAATTACACTGTATACTCCCGGAAGTACATAGTGTATTCCGAGAGTATATAATGGAGTTTGTAAACAAAAAGTTTGTAAATATAACCTACTATATATATATATATATATATATATATATATATATATATATATATATATGGTAGGGTTATATTTACAAACTTTTTGTTTACAAACTCTTGCAAACTACACTAAGTATGACCGCGGTCATACTTCAATCAAGAGTGTATGACCGGTCATACTTAATGTTATTTGTAAAAAAAATTTGTAAACGGATCATTCCCCATATATATATATATTTATATATATACAGGGGCGGACCTGTATTGGTGCAAGTGTGTGCAAGTGCACACACAAATTTTTGGAAAAAAAGAGAGAGTATATTTTGTATCCACAACAAAAATTAGAATTACAGAGCCCAATTTAATCTCTTAGAAAAAAAAGTCGACTCTCGGTCCCTCTGAATTCTAAAATAGACTCGGTTAGTTGAAATTGTGGTTCCTCTGAAATTTAAAGAAGACCTACGTTAGTCCTTCAAAAAGACTAACATGGGTCTATTTTGAAATTCAGAGGGAACAAGAGTCAATTTTTTTCTAAGGAATTAAATTGGGTCCCATGGTTTTTGTTGAGGACTCAAAAAGTGCTTTATTTTTGTACTAAGTTTCAGTTTTCTTTTCTTTTTTGTTTATATTCTTTTTGTTTTTAATATATTTAAAATTTTCTTTAAAAAAAATGCGGGGGCATTACCACCGAACTCCATCCCTAAATATGCAGACATAAATAAAATTGCTTGTGTCCGCCACTATATATATATATATATATATATATATAGATAGAGGTCAACACATAAGATGACAGTCGGGAAAATAATAGTTTTTGGAGAAGATTATATTTACAAATTTTTTATTTACAAAATACACTAAGCATGACCGATCATACTTCAATAAAAAATATATGACCGGTCATACTTAGTGTAATTTATAAAAAAAATTTGTAAATGGATCCTTCCCCGTAGTTTTTATACACCTTTACTGTGCACATAACAAATCAAGAGTTTATGTGTGTGATGAAACTCTATGAAATTATACAAATTTCAGATAATATATATGTAAAAATGTGTATACCTAACATTATTCTTGTTGAGAGACATTCTAAATTAATAATACTTAAAAATTCAATGCCAAAATGAATCTTGAAATTGAATCAACGAATCAGTTGACTCAAATGTACACACCATCTCTGAAACTTATCCATGACAACCACCAATTAATAACCATTTCTAACGAGCCATTGAAAATGACATTTACTTAACAGTAAGCAATAGAGAAACAAATTAAGTACCATATATCGTATCATCAAAACCATATACAACTGAATATGTGACCCACCTACACAGCCAAAACCACCGGTCCAAGTCAAACCATATCCCCCAACTCCATCTCCATCGTTCCTAACATTAAGCATATATATCTACCCCAGTTTGTGCCTTTCCCTAGGGCTTCCCCACATACACTCTCTCTCTCCCTTCTACCTTCATTGTTATTAGTGTTTTGGGTACCACACAAGTTCACAATAACATCCACACTTGTGGGGTGGGGGAGCATAGAGAGCCAAATAACAATGAGAAAACCTTGTTGTGACAAAGAAGACACTAACAAAGGTGCTTGGACCAAGCAAGAAGACCAAAAGCTTATTGATTACATCCGAACTCATGGCGAAGGAAGTTGGCGTTCCCTTCCCAAGGCTGCAGGTTAGTTTTTTTATGGATATATTAATAATATAATTCAATAATATACATACAAACTCAATAGATAAAAGCATAATTATTCGGGTCCATACATGATAGAGACAATAACTTGCATTATCTCTAGGGTTTTCTCTTAAAATTATTGAGCATTTCAAATCTAATGTCTCTTAATTAGTTGTGTAATATTTTAAGCAATTCTAAACCCTTTTATCTCAAATCCATAACCTTCAATAGTTTAATCAACAATTCATTTTTCTTTATTAATTCCACCATTAATTCCTTCGTTATCTACACCCAAAACTTACAAATTTAACATATAAGGTTATATCAGGGTTGCATCGTTGTGGCAAAAGCTGTAGGTTGAGATGGATAAATTATCTACGACCAGACATTAAACGTGGCAATTTTGGCCAAGATGAAGAAGACCTCATCATCAAACTCCATGCCCTCCTTGGCAATCGGTACTTTGATTTTCCTCTCTCTTAGTTTATTATATATCTAGTTATGGAAACTTTTATTTCAAAGTTCTTTATAATCTTAATTATTTAAAATTTAAAGGTTAATCCTTATTTATTGATTTAAAAGGCAATATTAATTTTGAGGATTCTTTTTCCCACTTTGTATGTCCAAATTATATTACTTTTTTTTCTCTCTTTCTCTTTATACCAAAATAAAAGGGGTGATGAATTGAATTTGATATAGTTGGGATATATATTATATGGTGTTAGGTGGTCACTCATAGCTGGAAGATTGCCAGGACGAACAGATAACGAAGTGAAGAACTATTGGAATTCTCACATACGCAGAAAGTTAATAAAGATGGGAATTGATCCAAATAATCATAAGCTACACCGAAGCTTCCCTGTTCGACATGCTCACAATGTTTCTGCTACCAGTGCACCATCATCTGGGTCATTGAACAATAGAGTCCCTTTAATCAAATCCAATGGTTCAGATACAATGAGTTTTTGTCATGTAGAAACAGCAGTGGTTAATTCTTCTTCTTCATCCCACTTAAATCTTGACCTAACCATTGCTTTCCCTTCGCCTAAACTTGTTCCAGCTGTGGAAGACAAACCTAAACCTATTTCTGAGTTCTCTAACACAAGAAAAATCGATGATGATTCCGCTCCTACCCTTCTTCTGTTTCGATAATTAGTTATTGATTAGATTGAGGTGTATATCTATGTCAAAATATATATCTACAGAGTCAAAAACATTGCAAGATGCATATGATCCATTGATTATAATAATATATGAGGTTAATTGATTCAGCAGCAGAGCACGACCTTGCAGTATATCATACAAGGTAACACAATGATTTCTAGTATGTATACAAGCTGGGGTTGAGATTTGTTTAGAATTGGAATTTGAACTTTGAAACACTTAATGTATTTCCCTTTATAGTGCTACAGCAAATAAATTTTGAATTAAGTACTCAACCTAAGTTCCAATTTCCAATTTCCAATTTCCAATCAAGAAATGTTGGAATTAGTCGTTGCAATTTCCAATCAATTTAGCAGTCAATCCGATTTTGAAGAGTGGTTGCAGCTAGTCTTATATCCATGCATTATATGTTTCTTTTATAAAGTAATAATTGTATAATATATATACGAGGAAGATTATATTTACAAACTTTTGTTTACAAACTATACTATGTACTCCCGGAGGTACACTAGGTTACACTATGTACTTCCGGGAACACACAGTATAATTTGCAAAAATTTGTGAACAGATCATTCTTAATATATATATATATATGGGGCAGGATCATCTTACACCAGTGTAAGAATAATAAGTCTTACACCAAATTTTAATCATTGATTTTTTGCATCTAACGGTTAAGATTTATCAGGTCTCACATTAATTAATTTTTAATTTCTAATAAATCTCAACCATTGGATGCACAGAAATCAACGGTTAAGATTTGGTGTAAGATTTATTATTCTTACACCGGTGTAAGTTGATCTTATCCCTATATATATATATATATATATATATATATATATATATATATATATATATAGGAAAGATCTGTTTATAATTTTTTTTTACAAATTACACTAAGTATGACCGGTCATACTTCAAGAGTGTATGACTGGTCATACTTCAAGAGTGTAGTTTATAAGAGTTTGTAAACAAAAAGCTTGTAAATATAACATTCCCTATATATATATATATATATATATATATATATATATATATATATATATGAAAAAAATGAAAATTCAGTCACTGGATCGTCCAGTGCACTAAGTTTTCCCGCGAGAACTTAGAGCACTAAATATTATAATGGTGTTCTTCAGGTGTTCTCCCAGGAGAACATAGTTATAATATTTACTATGACTTTGTTCTCGCAGGAGAACTTAGTGCACTGGACCGAATTTTGTATCTAGTCACTGTACACTCACTAAACCCTATATATATAATATATATATATAGGAAAAAACATTTCTCAAGCAGCTTGAGATAAGTTTATCTCCGAGTACCTCAAAACTACGTCGTTTTATTTATTTATTTCCTTATATCAATTGATTCACCTTTGAATGATTATGATTCCCTTTTTCTCTCTCTTCCTTTATCACCATTGATTCATCTTTGTACGGTTATGATTTAGTAGTCGGAGATAAAATTATTTCAAGCAGCTTGAGAAACGATAAGCCCATATATATATAAATATATATATATATATATATATATATATATATATATATATATATATATATAAAGTTAAAAAGTAATGAGTTTAATTAGTGGTCTCAACTTTGAAGTTTGAGTATGCAGTAGTGTTATAAATTTGAAAGAGAAAATTTTACTGCCTTGTGAAGCATGTCGAACTTGAATCCAAATTAGTTGGCGTCCATTGACGATCGTAATTCAAGCGATTTATATATATAAAAAAAACGTTGTTGCATGTATGTAAACTGACTGATATTTCTGTTAAATAGATTCTATTAATTTTAAACTTACATGAAACATTTGACAACTTTTCTCTTTGATACACTTTGTAATCACAAAAGGTACTACGAATATGTTTTTGAAGATATTCTTATTACTAAATATTTTTATTATTATTCTACTATCACTCTAATTATTGTTGAATCCCACTTTTTCAGTCGATAATTTCTGAAGAGAATTTTTTTTTTTAATATATTCCTGGGGTACATAATATATCAGAGTGGTAGTAGATTGATAGTAAAATTATTTGGTATTAAGAATATCCTATTTTTATTTTTATGGATATACTGCGTATGAAACAAAGGCCATCATGTATTGGTCTAGAACCAAGTTTGAGTGGGATCCATTTTGTTGTCTTACAAAAAAAGAAGATAAAAAATATATGTCAGGATCTGCCAATTTGTCACTGTGTCAGTATCTATCTAAATCTAACTATTTTGAATTATTATACATATATTATTATATAAATATAAATTTAAAATAATTTATGGTTGGCTTGGTTGAACCAATCAAATGAAGCAATCTTCTTGTGCAAAAGTATTTTTGGACTTAAAGTTAAAATAATAAGCAAGTTTACCAAACTTTATGCTGAAATTCATTTACTTTTTATTTTAGAAGAATGAAGAACAATAAATATCAATTTGTAGATGACATAATCATACAAGCTTTTATATTATATTATCAACCACTAAACAAATTAAGCTCTTAAGATAATTAGTTTATGGTAAAGCATAATTTGAGCTTTGGATACCTGTATCCAATTATTATTTTTAAGATATTTCAATTGGTTCATCGCTTCGCGATTAGTTCGATTCGGGGCAGGTCCCATGATTAAGTCTTTAAATCTCTCCTAAATATGATATTGGGAACGATAGAACACATGCTCTCATCCCACCTGCTCATTTCTCTAACGCCAACTGAACTATCATCATTGGGTCAAATATTCTATTTTTATACATATATGTACGTTCTTATTTTCACATGTTTACAATATTCTTAATTGGAAGAATAAAAATAGAAAATGTTTTGAATTAATCGTTGTTAGAAAAATGGATTGGACTGGGCGATGAGACTGGAAAATTGATGAATCGTTCAATGTGAGGTCTATTAAATCTAAATAATAAGATAATTAGAGAATTAATGAGAAATTGATCAACTTTAGTGGACAAAACTGAGCCCTCTCGTTAGGGGACACTAACTTCTTTGGTCTATATACAATTGAAGATTAAGTTAACTTCGTAGGTAAATGGAATGCAACTTATAAATGAGCTTTTCATAATATTACCGATCGCATAATCAAATTTCAAATCAACTTATATATCTACAAAATGAACGGCCATTTGATTTAGTTGTCAAATTTGTACTTAGGTTTCTTGGTGTCCTATAATTCGGTAGGAATTATCTTTCGACACGTACGGGCTGTAGAAAACATTTATTTATTTATTTATTTATGGATAAAGGTAGAAAACATTTATAAGCATAGCTAAGTGATCATATACACCTGAGTGGGGAATTTCCGGTAACATATATATATATATATATATATCACATGTTGGGCAGCTACACCATTCAGATATACCTGCGAAGCAGGTCACAATGTCACATGGAAATGGAATCAATTTCTTTTCTATATTTTCCTTGCAGATATATCATACTAGCTAGGACCTATGGGCTTACTTTGTAGTTTGTTGGGAGAATAGAGAAAGGAAAATGGTCCTTACCAGCTAGAAGAAATTAAAACGACGAGAATCAAAGTTCAATTTCGTTCATTTTCCAGTTCTGGGGCCAAATCAAATAATACCTTTTTTTTTTATCACATCCTTGTATTTATTTAATCATACATATATATATATATATATATATATATATATATATATATATATATAATCAAAAATGATTTTTATACGTACAATTCAATATGGCCGGATCTACAAAGAACTATATATGCATGAGCTAGCATACCAATTCTGTCAAAAAATATTAACTATATTCGAACGAGGAAGGTTATATGTATAATATTTTTTTTTTTACAATTTCTTATTATCATATCTTAACCGTTAATTTCTGTCAATCAATGATTATTATTTTCGCAAATCAAACTCATTAATAAATTTCTAATTCAGAATAAATGATAACCGTTAATTGACGAAAATCAATAGTTAAGATATTGTTGTAAGAGGTTGTAAACGAAAATAGGTTGTAAGTATAAACCTTCCTCTATTTGAATAGACTTTTACACTAACAGATATTTTTTTATAAGATGATTTTTTTAAACCTGAAATCTCCATTGATTTTAAAATTTTTTGTCATGTTGATCACACAATTTTACATTAAAATGCATAACGTTAATTTTATTGGGGTTTATTAACTAGGTGCATTATTTTGTTGAGTTTTCATCAAACTTCAATATTAATTTAACTTATTAATTAGGTATTCTGTATTAGCATATATATGAGACATGGCTATCAATGCAAAAATAGTTAATAAATCAATTACTCAGATTAATTATGAGCAGGTTAAACGACAAGTGCCAGTTCAAGATGATCAATTCTCAATTGGTTCCCTTCCAAAAACGCCCATAACTTACTGCTTTGGAATTTCAAGCTCATGGCCCTACCTTGTCTGTGAATTGGGCGCATACTGAAGCCTAAACTTTGTCATTTGAAGTTTGGACCTTATTTTAAGCCCAGTACATATTTTATCCCCATGTGATGATGTTGGACCATTTCCATTATTGTGATCTTAACACAAGAACCAAAGTATGATGGCCGCAGAATTTGCTATGTTGGCTTATTTTACTTGTACTAATTTTATAAAAATTGATATCTTCTTCTTATTTATGAACCATTATTACTCATATAAAAATTCAATTCAAAGTAGACTTTTTTTAAGAATTCTTGGTATAAATTAGCAAAATATCAAAATAATTATTACATGTAACAGATCAATTATCAATTACTATAGCTTTAAAATTTTATCTCCCGGGACAAATGCATTAAATCACCAAATTTTTGTTTCCATTAATTTTTCAACCCTAATTTATAAAAATAGGCACATAGCACCATTTCTTTCTCTTCACTTTTCTTCTGTTATAGTAAATAAGAGCATCTTTTAATGTACCGTACAGATATGATCACTCGACTGCTACCATCTATCTCTCCTTCCAATACTTATAAGAACTTTTGTTTCACCAAACAGTCTATAGAATGTAGATAATCAGTAAATGCTAAGGCATAAATTACTAATTCATAGATTCAGTTACCAGATTAGTTCCATGCGATAATTAATTTAATTTTATAAACAAATGAATTGTTATTAATACTTGAGAGAGAGAGAGAGGGAGAGAAATTCAGCCTCATAAATTCTACCAAAAAATAAAGTTGGTCAACTAATTTTAAATTTGGGATAGGATCATTTTACATAGTATAAATTACATTCTCAAATCTTAATATTGATTTTATTTATATCTAACGATTTTAATTTATTAATTATGTGAATCATTGAATACAAGTGAATTAATGATTGACGTTGAGTACGAGACTTATTACTCTTAGTAAGAATAATGTGCCCTTTAAATTTTGTACAATTTATTTGTATGAGTTTCCCCTCTTCTATTAATTATTCTCAAATAACTGTGGAGGATCCTGATGTGTATGCAACTTGGATAGATTTGAATATTTTGAGATAAGATAAGAATATGGGAATTGTGATGGGTTTTAATTACATGAGGATAAGAAATGAACGTCCTTGTATCCATTAAAGTTGGACTTAGGCAAACTTCTGAATTTAATGCAGCATTCGGCTTGCAACACAAAAGGTCGTTTTGGATATAACCAAAAAACCGAGAGAGAGAGAGAAGGTCGATTTGGCGGCGGCTGCTTAGACAAAGCATATATGAATTGAACATTGATTGTTATTTTCAATGGACCGAAATTATTAAGAGAAAAATGTTTATCCTTTTAAACGACACAACTTATATTATTTCACTTTTATAAATAGGTGGGATTCACACCTTTATTTTTTTTGTCAACTCTTTTTTTTTCTTTATCTATATTTTTCTTTCTCTTAAAATGACATAACTTTACATTCTTTAAAATGACACACTTTTTCAATTATTAATGACGGACTCACTAAACTGAAGAAAATTAGCTTGCTCATATAAGTCATAAACTTTATTCAAAATTCAAACAAAGCAAGATGAACCAGCACTTAGGGAGACTACTTGGAATTGACATCCATTTGCTAGCCATTTTTATGTGGTCATTTTCATCAGCGTTTGGAAAATAATTAATAAGAATAGGTCACTCATGTTTGATTGTTACTCTTTCCCAAGAAGGTCAGAATCCAAATCTGGTAGAGTTGTGATGCACGTCATTCTTATGATCTGTTGTGAAATTCAGACCATAATTCAAGTAATTTCTTAGATTTTGATTTGCATGGATTCAAAAAAAGGGAGGATTTAAAATTAATATACATGAAAGAGTTTAATTAGTATTGAAAAACTAAAAAAATCATTATATGCCTTTTTAGAATAATTGTAGAATAGGTTAGTTGAGTACTCCCGGTTTGTATTCCATTATTTGAAAATTATGTTGGCAAACAAAAATGAAAATGAGAAGTGTAAAATGAGAGTTTAACCTGTGTAGTCCCTTTTTTTTATTGGTATTTGAAAGTTTAGATTAGGAGATACATGCCCCATTGAAGATTTAAAGTGGGATTATATATCACCTATCAAAGATTTTTTTTTGAAAATCTAACTCAAGCCACAACTAGCATGGTAGAAAATTTTATCAACTGTGTCATATATGATATATGTGCCAACCCTCATTAACCTTCTTTTTAAGTTTCTCTTGTTGATCTGTTTCTTCTTCATTGGTTTGGGCCTTGTTGTACCCTGTGTTGTCCGTTTGTAGTTGGTCATTGGCCGGTTTTCTTTAACCCGAAAAATAAAATTGAGAATTTTAGAATTATTATAATAAAATACGTAAAAACTGATTATTTTGCGCTACATAATTTTTTCTTCTTCTCCGTTTATTTAATTTAATTTTTTTAAAGGAGACTAATTTGAAGTAGTGAGTTTGCCCCGTGAAATCTTTAATTTGATAATAGATATTTATTCTATGCCATGTATCACAATATGATTGGTTGTATACATTGCATGTACATAAAAATTTCACAAAGGAAATGCATTTGACCCTTGCACTAACCTATCCCGTCTCTCCTTTAACATATCACCACTTTCTCGATCTTTCCCTTATATGCATATCACCATGTCTCATCTTATGTCTTAGACTTCCCTATTAATCGTTAAAAGGAATCTCAAAGGTTAGGTTGAAGTTTGGTCCAATCTATAAGCCTCTATATCCCCCACCCAAGTTTGATTGGAGCAAATTTTTCATGCTTGTTGAAGTGAGTGTAGTTGTTAGGTTATAGTTTGTTGAAATATGAGATCTTCATATCTTTATAGTAAAAAGTCAATGTCTCTTTCAAACTGAAAATCATTTAATAAAAAGAAAACGATGCCTCTTTTAACTGAAAATTATTTCATAAAAATGATTAGAAGGGTAAATCTTCAGAAAGCTTTTGGAAAATGAGTCTCCTTAATAAAAAATTTCTGATCTAGTATATATAATTAGTACTAACCAAATAATTGGAAGTTACCACACTTCTAGAGAAATATTATTGTTTCATGCGGCTTAGTCATTTGACCTAGCTGCTTAGTCGAAGACCAGTTGTAACTACAGACATTAGAGTTGTTGTTTGGTGAGATTACTTTAGATATGTCCCTAGACTTGGATGTCTTCAAAGGACTTGGTTACCAATTGGGTTAAGGTTCAACCATTTTCACTTAAGTTTTAGCCTTCTAGTATTATATTATAGCAGCTATTTTTTTTGTAATATATATCATCCTATTGTTTAATTAGTTTAAACTAATCAAATTTTACAAAACAAATATGATTTATTGCCGACACCATGTAAATTACACCGTGTGATGAAGTTTAAGCTGCTATAGCATGTGCCGACAGAAAATGCCAAAGAAAAAGAAAAACTGATATCAAAAGACAAAATGCTGTTTGGTAAGTTCATATAGGACAAAATCGTATAATTTAAGGGCACCCGTTTGAAACTGACATATATTGCTTAAAATGAAAACGAAAAAAAGAAGAAGAGTAAAATCTAAAAAATACCTCTTGATGGCCTAATCCATTTCAAAAGTTGCCTAACATGTTAGAAGTCATGCAACATAAGTAGTTTTGAGACTCTTGTATACTAGAAGTACTCTACATGTTAAAAACAATTTCAAAAAGAAACTAGTGCCTCTTGAAATAATGTACTCCTTGGCTCAATTGACAATTGATTGCATCATATATATTAATAACCAATAAATTTTTTTATTGTAAGGATATTTAGATATCAACTATTTTATGTATGCTTGTATCAATGTTATTTTGTATTTACAACTTACATTATATTTTCTTGTAAGATTGTATAACTGCATCAATAGTCATATCTAAATTCTCAAGACATTGGTGTAGTACTATTTATCCACCGATATAATAACAGTTACAAATTTAAAGTGAATAAAAAGTTAACATTAAAGTTACTTTTTCGGTAGAGATCTAGACAAACAAGATGTGAAAAGAATATAATATAATCATACCCCACTTCTTTTTATTTCAAAGGGTACAGGAGTTGGATTAAGATTGAAAGTTTGGCTTGGCTCCACATCTCATATTTAGAAGGGGTAATGATACTTCTAGTCATCTCCTTGGAAATATTTAAAATTTGATACTTGTAATACAATTAAATATACAGAATAAACTAATTTTGTGAATAATTTATCATGAACGAACCAAAAGTGAGATCTGGCTAATCATATAATATTAATTGGGTTACATGTTCTAAATAAATATTAGGAATAATTTTAAAGAAAAAGTTTAATATTTTTTATATTGTAGAGGATAAAATTATGTGCAGAGAAGAAAAAAATAAATAGGTCTAATGCACTTTTATGTATATGTAAAAGATAATTTTATCTCCTACAACATAAGAGACATTAAACACTTAAAGGAAAGACTAAATATGTCATCATTCTCCATATTTATAACCATCTGATTGAGATTAATTCATAAATTCATCGATTATTTCAATTCGAATCAGGTAAGATTATATTCTATTATTTTGAAAGTAAATTTTCTCGTGTGAAAAAATGGTCATGTTATCATGTTATTTGATCAGAATCACTCCTTTAAAAATTATACGCTTTTTTCTCTCTTATTTCATCATCAATAAACAGTTATGATCAAATAATATGATCACTTTTTCACACGTGATGATTGACCTTGTGTCATTTTACTATAACTGCAACTCAAACTCGTGAAATAATCTACGCGTTAAAATCAATGGTTTCACACTAGCTAGTATTATTTAATACACAAAAGTCATTCATCATTATATTTGTATGGAATCGGTAGCGAATTTCCACTAATTCACACAAACCCCTCCCAAAATTCCGAAGTGCTTTTGTCAACCTTTTACTTATTAACACATTCCCATGATTGCAATATAAATAGCAAACACCACCACCCTTTGTCTTAAAACACAACCAATAAAAAAGAATGGGAAACGCCATAGGAGGGAGTAAAAAAGCAAAGGTGATGAAGATAGATGGTGAGACTTTCAAGTTGAAGACACCAGCTACAGCAAACGACGTCGTTAAAGACTACCCCGGTCACGTTCTCCTTGATTCTCAAGCCGTGAAACATTTCGGGCTTCGGGCCAAGCCACTCGAACCTCACCACAAGCTCAAGCCCAAGAAAATCTATTTCTTGGTTGAGTTACCGAAACCTCAGCCCGAACAACAACAACAACAATTACCGAGGAGGGTGCGATCCAGTGGTATCCGCGGCATGAACGCTAAGGATAGGCTCGATTTCTTGATGCTGTCGAAACGCTCCGTTTCGGACCTCGTGAAACCTTCGTCTAATCTTGGCATGGATGGGCCCGGCCCAGTAAATGGTGGGCCCACGACGGTAAAAATGAGGCTTCCTAAAGCCCAGTTGGATAGGTTAATGGAGGAGAGCCACGACGGAACCGATGTGGCGGAGAAGATCATAAGTTTGTATATGGGGAATAATGCCGCCGTGGACGGTGGCGGAGAGCTTCATAATCACAACAAGCCACGAAGGGTATGTGTTTCTTTAATTGTCATTCATTATTTTATTAATTTTAATATTGTCAAATTACATTCTCGAATCTTTGAAAATTTGTTTGGTTGTTGGACTCTATATATGTGTTTATATTTTTTTTATTAATTTATATATAAATTAATAATCATGATTATTAATTTAAATAATGTAAGTTGAGCTAATGACTTGTGATGTGTGATATTTTTAGGCTGATTACAAGATTCGTTCTATTTCAGTAAGCATAAGTATTGTACTTCCAAAATTGCCGTTTTGAGTTGACATTAAATAAAAAATTACAAAAAAAAGGAAATAGAAAATCAAATTTGAATGTTTAGATTTGACATATTCTAATTTAAGAATAAAAAGAATGGTTGGAATGTCAAAAGAGTGTTTGGATGAGTATATTCTGTCTTGCATTGGGTTTTTCACATTGTTTATGAGGTTTCTTGTTAAAACATTTTTTCACATTGTTCATGTTAAATGCTTGGTTCTCAATTCAATATATGGACCATATCGATGGGCCAGCAAAATATATAAGCAGAAGTCAAATGTGAGATCGCATACAAAAGTCGGTTTTTAATTTTCACATTATATATATATATATATATATATATATATATATATGAGGTAGGATCATTTAATATCAATGTCAAATTTCACAAATCAGAGTCGTTGATCTTTTTTGATCTAACGGCTCTCAGATGAGGTGTCCAATTTAAAATTTGACACTGGTGTCAAAGTATCCTACCTCGATATATATATATATATATATATATATATATATATATATATATATATATATATATATATATATATTGTTTAAAATTTAAATCGTAGTTATATACTAAATTAAACTATGTTTTGTTTAAAATTTATTTCAAATAATTACTTCTCACAACTAGAGCTGGCAAAATGGGCCGAGCCCGCCGGGCCGGCCCGCCCCGCCCGCCAAACGGGGCGGGGCGGGCTGAGTTTTCTAAACCCGCTGCCCGCCCCGCCAAGCCCGCCAGCCCGCCCGGGCTGATTTTTTTTTTTTTAATTTTTAGTATTTTTAGTGTAAAATGTGACGGGCTTGGCGGGCAGCCTGCCCCGCCCGCCCAATCGGGACGGGACGGGCAGAGATATCTAGCCCACCTTCAATGGCGGGGCAGGGCGGGCCAGCCCGCTTTTTGGCGGGCTTTTGGCGGGGCAGGGCGGGCAGCCCGCTTTGCCACCTCTACTCACAACATACAATTTGTGATAAAAAAAATAGAATTTTTTTTTATCATTTTCTATTTGGTTTTTAATTAATTACTTTTATTAAATACAATGATGATACTGAGATTTAAATTTATAACCTCATGTTATCTAATTTGTTTTTTCTCTAGTCCAATTCTAATGACTTTTAACATTATTTTATTATTAAAAATGATTGTACGAATGATAATAATGAGAAATGACATAGGCACTATAAATGAAAATGTGAAACTTCAAATCACATGTAGAAACAATAATTTTCTTTTTATTCAATTCTAGAACCTTGAAAATTGGATAGTATTCAAATGAAGTCTAGAATGCTTTGGTTTTGAATAATTCACAACCCATTTTGTCTCCTACTATTTTTATCAAAAATCAACTTCGTCAGTGTGTAAGCAACTCTAGAGAGAAATGTAGCATTAACTATTATTTGTTTACTAGTTGTGTCGCCTATGAAAAAGTGGGTTGTTGGAAACTTGACTTAGTGTATACGAAAACCCAAGTTAACAAGAAACAAGAGTAGAACATTTTAATGTTGGTCTATTACTCTATTAGCTTATGATATAAATTTGTAGTTTCATAATTAATAAACATAGTCATATTAATTAGCTAATATGTAATTCTTTCAGGGAATTAAGTTAATGTTCTTTCTTGAATATGAATTTTCAGAAACGAGTGAGTTTCAATCCAGTGGAACAAGGAGAAATTCATGAAGAAGCAGCTACTCAATAGCCACCATTCCTTATAGTCATTTAAGCAGATGCAAGTCATAGCAGCACTTAAATCTGTAGCCAATATATTGATATAGATATGTTTATACATTTTATACATTTGTAGTGTTAAAGGTAAGAAGATGAAAAAATATTACTTTAAATTGTTTGACGTATAGGCATAGCTTACCCAAAAGTGACTTTTTCTGGTTGGTTAAGGAAGAACCAAAAGAAGGATCCATGTGAATGGAAGACTTCTAGTCACTTCAAGTTTTAAAACAATATCTTAGGAATTTGCTAAAATCCTAACTTTTTCTTGAAAACTCGCTTCTGATATGAAACTTTGAGTATTCAGAGATCTTTTTATTATTCCCAATAATAGAGCTCGATAACTAATTGCTTCTTGCAATTTTTAGCAAAAGAAATTACTTAATGATTGAATATCAGGTTCCAAATGTCAAGTTCAAAGAAGTTTCAAAAGATTTTTTAATTGAGAAATGTTATATTGACAAACTTTTTTTCTTACAAACTACACTAATTCTGACTAGTTATACACTCTTAATTGAAGTCTGACTAGTCAGACTTAATGTAATTTGTAAGTTTATAAGAAAAAAAGTTTGTCGATATAATCCTTCCTTTTTTTCATATAAGAAAAATAGAAACATTAACATTTTTTTTCCTTCCTAATATTCTTGTTTTTTGTTTTTCTTTTTAATTCATTTTCCTATTTAAAAATGTTTTTAAATAATAAAGATCCAATTTTAAGAAAATTCATATTACAAGAAAAAAATAAAATTCTCAAATTTTTTTTTTTTTTCTAAACCCTAAAACAATGTCATTTTAGATTTAGAGAAAATAACTCACACGGAGTTTTCCCTTATAAAATATAACTCAAGAACCAATTTAAAAAAATAAATAAATTGAAGGGATAAAACACATACGTAGCTAGATAAGTAGCTAAGCTGCACAAGGTATATTATTTCCCTACTCACACACACTAATACACATATCACTTCATATCTATACAGTTTTCACCATTTAATTACAATAAAATGTACCTCATTTTCTACATATCTACACTTTATAAGTTTACATAACTTACATGTAAAATGATGTGTTCCGAAGAGATTTGCATAAAGAATTTTTCTTCCAGAAAAGTGAAGTTTCTCCCTCCTCATAAGTAAAATGTCTTGCATGTGTCCACATAACAATGCGAGTATAAAACTATCCTTAAGATGAGACATTAAACAAGAAGAAATTTGTGTTCATGACAGGCACTCATACCATCCATTGACATGTGCAAGAATATCTTTTAGAGATAAGTGTCTTTCTAGTAAAACTCACATAACTTTATACATGTCAACAGTTAATTTAAGTGCCTATAATAGGCAGTGCCTAGCTAATAATTTCTTGTGAAGTAATATAACGCCAAATAGTAGAAGGAACATTAAATAGGACAAATCCCGGTGTACAAGACTCCCCAAGTTACGAGGGTAAAAATGAGGATCATTCGTTAGCAGCCTTACCCTTGCACTTTTGCAAAGAGGAAGCAAAAGAAACATTACAGTAAATATATAGTATTAACGAGTGTTAAAGTATTTCAAACTTCAAATATGCAAGACTGAGTTATTCAACTTCATTTCCAGCTTGATACGGTCGAGTGCTTGATCAATGGTCTGATGCAATCACTGGCATACAATACCTTGTCAAATAGTCACAAAGTTCAAACAAAATTCTTATTTAGACATCCAACAATCAAACTTATTTCTAATGGCTTCCCAGAAGGCAGGTATAGAGATGTCATCAGGTACTTCCTTAAATGATGGGAGATAGTTTACATCCACAATTACATGGTCATGAGTGCCATCCTGAATTACAACATCAAAACCAAAGATAGTAAGTTGAAGCCTTCTCCTAAGCCAATTTGCAGCATCTGTAACCAGCTTAAGGTCAATAGACTCATTCCTTGTCATGCCATGGTTACTGGCTCCAGAATCATTGACGCTGTCAGCGGTGGGTAGAGATTTTAAGCTATCAAACACTATAGGTTTGAGGTCATCACCATTAGATAATTTCATCAAAATATCAGCATTTGGAATTGACTTCTTGACAGCATAGAAAATTTGTTCACCCAAGACATAAAATTTGTACAAAGTGGATGAATGATCCACATATTCCTGAATAACAGCTGGAAGAGGAACTCTTAAATTCTTAAAATCATTAACTCTGAAAACAATTGCCATCTTATGTGCATCACTGACACCGCAAGCAACTTTGGGTTTCACTATACATGGAAGAGACAATCTAGCTTCAGTTAATCCAGTCACAAAATTAAATTCATCAAAATTATCAACCTTAAGAAAATGGGCCCCTCTGATCAAATAGCTGCCTTTAGTGTTCAGTTCTACCAAGTCAAGTAGAACTTGTTGAATTTCTAGCCGATCCAATAAAGTATAAATGTTACTCAGCGGGTCAATCACACAGCAATCCCGGTGCTGATCCAAATATCTTTGCAGTTCTTGCATGTTCTGTGTAAAAGTAAGTTTATTCTCTTCAATAGATAATATTTCATCAGTGGCTTTATGGAGAACTATGTCAACATCCTTTAATTGAGATGATAAAGGCAGCTTGGATGAGAGAGGTATGAACATCAACCCATTTTGAGTAGGACACAAAGGGAATGCACCCCTCTTTGCAAAATCTTCCACACGAGAAGGCTTCATTATATAGCCCACAGTCACGGCATTGGTCCCAATTGACCTTTTATTTAAGTTGCACATGATCAATGGCAACTCTTCTAAATTTTCAATCTGAAGTATATTTGGAGTGTCACATGAACTTTCACCTCCAACATTCAGAACAACAATCAACCAATTATAGCTACTTAATTTAGGTAACAATTCCTTCTTGTTAGAAACCAGATAAATAATGCTGCCATCATCAGTGTTACTCCATCCGGGCATAACCTCACTTACAGGATCATTTAAGATAAAGCAATCAAGCGAGTACAAACTAGCAATTCTTTTAAGAATACTCACCTTGTCATCCGGAAGGCCCACACCATAAGAAATTCCCATATGGATTCTGGACAGGAAGAGTATTCGGATGAGAGACTCAACTCCTAACCGTAGGGAAGATACATTTTTATCATCACCACCTTCAGCCAAGAATACTGATTCATCCAATATCACCCCCCTCACTACACCCATTTGAAAGTGGATGCACCACTACAAAAAATACAATTATTATAACATTTTCAAGTCAGAAATATAGAAAGTTGAAAAATATGACTTAGTTATCATCAAACACAATATATAAATGTGTAAATTTTAGAATTAATGTAATGAATTTGATTTATGATGAGCAACAAGATTTGTCCAATTACATATTTTATACAATCAATTGTCTAAAAACGTATGTCAAAATGTCAAATATACCAGAACTTGTCAGTTAAAGCATTTCAAGAGATTAAAAGAACAAATCAAAGTTATACAACAATCTGTCTGTTTTCTAAATTAACTACATTTCATTCAGTTTCATTTTTATAACACAATAATGAAGCATCCTTCTTCCAGATAAGATTACTATAATCAGCAATTCTCGTAAAACAAAAAACCAATTGCTCCAGTATTATTTCTTCAGCAGGTAGGACACAATCTGTCTCTCTTTTCAAATCAGGATCAATGTTAAATGCCAGCCCATTAGAAGTGATTCCATTTGAAATTCAAACACCAATTGCTCCTATCTTCCTTTCTCCAACCCATATCCCAGTCTCACCAGTGTGAACCATGAAATCTAATGTCACATCCCCTTTGGACATAGTGAAGTTCAGCTCTTATTTTCTCTGACTCCTTCTGTGAGATTAATAAATTATGATCAGTTCTTTTTCCAACAGTATATGTAGGTAGATGTTGCAAGGACAAAAGGGCATCATCCATCACATCTCCTATGAGATTTTCTATCCAAGACCAGCTTTCCCTGAAGTTTTATTGCATCCAAATAGTTGACAATTCCTAGTTTCCAAAACATCAAGGCTTTGCAAAAAAAACCCCATTCCCTGTTCACTATGGCTTTTCGAAAAATGGGTAAAGGTCAAGTTTCCATTTTTTACAACAGATCCAAATTCAATCTTAAAATCTCACTGGTTTACTGCATACTACGAAACTGGGAATATGAAACCGACCAAAACGAATTTTTTTTTTTTTTGTGAATAATAAAATAAAATAAAAACTTTGGAATATTGCAGACACTTAAAGAAGAAAAAGCAATGTAAACTCACAAAATCCAAACATGCAAGCGAAATTGGAAGAAGCAGGTGAAGAAGTACCTCACACCTCGTATAAATATATTCTGTCTCTGATGTGAGAAACTTGATTGTCCTAATTGGTGGCTTGGAAGTTTAGTAGAATGGGTGGTGAGTGTGAAGCTTCAGATCACAGTTTCAAACCTTACTAATGTAGATGTTTGAGGAAAATGAGGAAGAAAGAAAGAAGAAGGGCAAAAACATGAATGAATTGAACTCCTTAAATTCCTCAATCATCGTAAAGCAATAATTATAAAATTGAATTTGTTTAAGAATGAGATAATTTCTATGTCTTTTTTATTGTTAGTTGAGAATCTGATGCAATTATTTTGGAGAAAAATATATGGATAAGATATTTTTACTATCAAATAATATTATTTTAAATGTTATTATCATATCTTAACTGTTGATTTTAACCAATCAATAATTATTATTTATTATGTATAAATAATTAATTAATGAATTTAATTTGTGAAAATAATAATAATTGATTGACGGAACTTAACGGTTAAGATATGATAGTAACATCGATAATAACATTATTTGGTAATAACAATATCATATCCCAAAATATATAGAGTAAATATGAAAAAATAGATAAATACCATATTCTATCTCTTTTGTTTAATATTTTTATAAATTTTTGTTGTAACTTAAAAATTAGTAGTTAAATCGATTAATGTAACTATGTAAGAGCTGTTTTTTTTTTTCTTTCAAGTATTTGCTTTACGTGATAACGTATTGTTAGATTTATTTTTATCATTCAATTATATTCGATTATGAAGTTAAAAAAATTAAATCATAATCTAGATGATTAAAAAATAAACAACTTGTACGTGAGTTATTTCAAAGCACAATTAACTAATTATAATTATATTGGAGAAATGAACGCAAAAGGTTGATACATGTCACATGAAAAGCAAATATTTTTGGTACTATTGATCTAACATGGATGTACCGCAATCTTTTTATCAAATATGATAAAAAGTAATATATTTACATTATATTTGTCTTTATAATTATTTCTTTTCATATTTTTTTTTTTCATTTTTGATAAGGAAAAAACTACTCTCATTACATCAAAAATCTACTCCACATGCAAAACACTAAACAGCAAAAAAGTAAAATAAATTTGGATGCCATGATTTGGACATTTAATAGTAAAAGCATAGGAAAAAACACTTCTCCTTTTATAGTAGAAGTATTTTCTCATGTCGCTCTCATTTTGATTTTTGCATCATCTGTTATTTATTTTTTGAAAATTGTTTTCTTATGTTATATAAAAGTCTTCTCTCCTACTCTTTTCACATCGAAAACTGAGTCCCATGTTTTTTCTTTTTCTTTTTTATAAAAAAAATTGATGACTCACTTTATTTTGTCTCACCATAAGATAAGATTTGTCACCTGTTACATAAGAATAATGCCCTTTATTTTTTATAAGATGGGTTGTATTTTTTTTGTACAGACATTTAAAAATTCTAAATTTCTCGTATTGAAAGGAGAAGTTGAAAGCCCAAAAATATATCTTTTGGGGAGTTTCAGCTATGTCATCATTTATAGGGTTTACTTTGGTATAATGTTATTTTCACTTTGGGTATAATGTTATTTTTTTTATAATTTGTAATATAAATTTTGTAATTTTTTCTATGAATTTATAGTTGTTAATTAATTTTTTCATTTATTTGATGATCCATTTTTTGGTAAACTATTTTATGATTTTATAACTTTGAAAGAAATTTTCGTAATTATTTTGGTGAAATTTTATGAAAAAATTTATGTAACGTGAATTACATATTTTAAATTATAAGTGAGAAAGTTAACTAAAGAAAATAACGAATATAACGAAAGGAGGAAAAGAATAATGGAAGAAGAGAAACATTGCAAACTCATAAAGAATATAATTCTTTATATTGAAAGTTACATATTTCTATTTATTTATTATAAAACTATTAAAAATTTTGCATACTCATAAAAATTATATAATTATTATTAAAATTAAGCATTTATAATATATTGTTACAAATTCATTTAAAAACTATATTTAAATATAAAAAAAATTAAATCACTATTAAAAAATACATCCATTATTATTAGAGAAATTACTGAAATAAGCTACTTAATTTTTTTTGTTAAATTAACACTTCGATATCATATACGTTGGTTTGCTTGCGTATTTTTATTCTTATTAAAAAAAATTAATACATTAACAATGTGAACAAATTTGTATATTTATTTAATAATATGTTACAATTTGATTTAATATAATTATTGATGATATATTATTAGATGATATGTAAAATACTTTTACATTCACAATATATTAAAATCGCACACGGTATACGTTATTCAGACGCCTGGTATTATATAAAATTATATGAATGATTAGTTTTTCTTATATTAATAGTTATTAATTAATGGAAAATATGTTTCACACATTGCATTAAACAAACGTCTCATACAAAACATAAAAATAATGGGATGAAACAAAGAAAAAAGAAATATGAATTCCAAAATTATCTCATAGAATATGATAAACATATTTCTCTTCATTAATCCTACCTTTATTCCCGTTTGTTACGGGAAATTTTTGGAGATTATCAAGAAACTAAATTTTTTAAATTTTTAATTTTCAAATATTATCTTAAACTGAATATAAAATTAAATTTTTGAAAATTGAGATTTTCGGGTAAAAAAAATTTCTCCGCTCCTACTTTAGTTAGTTTATTAGAATGCACCCATCACTTGCATCATCAATTATATCACTTATTATTGGAACACTGGTACTTCAGTCTTATTTTTTGTATTTTTTTTTGCTCTTTATCATTCACTTTAATAGTATGTTTATTCTTTCTATCATTCTATAGTTTCACTCCCTTTCAATTTACTGGTTAATTCAATTCAACTGAAGCAATGAGACGACTGGGAAGTTCGGAGCTGGGGCAATATTGATGCAACTCAAAAAATTAAAAGTTTGTAAGAACACTCGATGGCTGAGTCGTTTCAAAAAAGTAATTATGATTGGTATAAAAAATATATATCAATAATGTTATAAAAAATATATACAATAAGGAACCTTGTTTTAAAAGAGCAAACTGAAAAACCAATGTAATCCAAGCATTCTATATAAAGTTTCAATAAAAGGAAGAATAGCATAGATTAATTATTACATTCTAAATGTCATACATAAGAACCATACATATTATCACACGGAACTTGAAAATTGGATACAAAGACAAATAACATGGAATAAATAGTTAGAGAAGTTAGAACTTAGATAGGTATGGCATTGGTGACTGAAGGGTAAACCACGGTGGCTGGGTGAGCCATGATTTTGCGACCCTTCATGTGACGAAAGCAATACACAATAGCCCCCACCGGCCACTCCACCACCGCCGCCGCTGCAAACGCCAGGAACCCGAGTGTTGGCCGCACCACCTTGCACCGGCAAGGGTTGCTAGTGGTGCCACATTGCACGCATAGTGGAATCCCAACTCCAACCATCTTGAATCAAAATAAAGAGCAAGTTTGTGACTGTAATATGTTGTGAAAGTGCATAGAGACAACTTTGATTCTTGTGTTCAAGTTTAAGACCTGTTAGTCTCTCTATTTTTATAGAATATAGTTTTCCTTGGTTAGGAGGAATCCTTGATTTCATGCGAGATTTTTTTTTGTTTTTTGGGTGCTGTGATTGGATGACTTATGACTTCATATGCTACGTGTCAGCTGGTCAAGACATTGTTGGTACACGTGTCTTTATTTGCTGGAGCTATTAGACACGTGTCTTTATAGTGCAAAGTCCTGATATCAGCCTCGTCCATGAGTCATAACTCATTAACTATCAAAGTTGTGCGCCTCACATGGTGCATATATATTTTAAATGAGACATGACGATAAAGGGATACTCCAAATATGTAGAATTTTTTTTTTTGTGTGCCTCAGCTAGTTTTACATGTTATTTTTATGGGATTAATGTTTTTTTAATTTTGTATAAAATAAATTTATTTGTTATATATATATATATAAGTTTGTAAGATCCATATGGGCCAATGTAAGAAAAAAAGAGAAAATAAGAAAACATGTGTCTCATGGACTTTTATAGATATGTAGGAGATAAAATATTTTTTTTATAATATGAGAAAAATTAAACTATTTTTTTAGGCCAAATTAAACTATGAGAAATTATACTCTCATGTTACATGAGATTCATCTCTCATATTACATTTACATAAAAAGATGTGTCTCTTTTCTTTCTTTCTTTTAAAAAATTGACGAGCCTTATTTTATTTGTTTCACAACATAAGATAGTTTTCTGGTACGGAGAGAAGTAAAATCCTTAAATTATATGAGTTTTTAATTAATGACAAACTAAACTTAGGTCTGTTTTTACATTAGTAAGTCCACTAAAAAGGAGCATATAATAGATCTCGAGACTCGAGCTAGAAGCTAAAATCTTCTACGTCCATGCCATGATGTCATTAACAAAACACCAATAATATAAGATTAATAATAAAATAATACTGAAACCCATTTATATTTTGAATAATTAGCACACAATCGCAAAGTAAGAAAAGAGAGAAGGAGAAAAAAAGACAAACAAAATTTATGCAACAATATAAGATTAAAATTTATCCTCATTCATTTAATATAAGTTATGTAACAATACCTTCTATATTTTCCTTGCGGCATTTTTTGCGGCACTTTGATTACAAGAGGAGTATAAATAAACTTAGAAATCCTACACAATAACAGTTATTAGTGGATCCAAACTAGGGGTGTTCATCAACCGATTCAAACCGTGGTGATCGAACCAAAAAATCGATAACCGAAAAAACCGAAAATCAAAAAAAAAACCGCAAATTTTAATTGGATTAGATCGGTTTTCGGATTGGTTGATGAAAACCGATCCAATATATTAATTTCCCTCTACCTACTGGGTCTTTTCAATCATAGCCCAAAAATTTCTAAACTCAAGACCTATTCACCCATCAACTAAAGCCAAGAAAAAACCTAGTCACATCTCATCAACAAAATTTTATCTATGTAGAGCTTCATATCTCAATGTCCAATATATTATCATGTACTGATGCTTTTGTATTTTAAAAAATAAAAAATTACAAAGCTAATATATACAAAAGATGTTATTTTCACAATAATTATGAAACAAATTTTAGAGTTTTCAAAAAATCGAAAATCGATCTAATCCAAATCGAAAAAAATTGGATTGAATCGGATCAAATTTGAAAAAAAATCCGAATCGAATGGATCATTACATGATCAAACCGAAGGGATTGGATCAGATGATTTTTGCTTTCAAAATCAATACAATCCAGACCACGAACACCCCTAATCCAAACCTAAACTATTAGAAAAAGAAAATATAAAATAAGCCACAGCCCTCTTTGACGGGTCAGTTGGCTTTATCTACATCCCGTCAACAAGAAACGTCATTTGAATACTAAATATGAATCATACCAACCATATTAACCTAAAAAAAAATTGTAAAAAAAAAAAATTAAAAAATGTTTCATCATTTGGGCCAAATTATTGAAATCAGTGAGACATAAGAATGGAGCTTGAGCTGATGCTTGTCAATCACTCATCAATGGGAATGAACTCCATTTCCTAACTTTTTGTCCTCTTTTCTCAACCATTTAATGTTCCATACTCCCTCGGATACGTCTATATAGACTATATATTCACAAATAAACCTATTGAAGCCTTTGGGTACATGAGGTGCCAAAGAACCAAATGGAAGAGCAGAGAATAATCAATGCTCGCACCATAAAAATTGAGCATCCGGTACCTTCATCTTTATTATCTCTAAAAACAGAATAAATTCTCATAGTGTTAAAGTGCATTTGTGTGCAGGAATACAAATGCAAAACCATACTATGGAGTATTACAACTTAAGTGCTACATATTTATCATAAACGTGTATTAATATAAATCTACAATATTTAATATAAAAAAATATTAAACCGTTATTTCACCTTCTAATTATTATAATCTCATTTCCAAAATTCCATTAATTGATACATAATGTGGTTTTGGCATAGCTTCTACCTTCTTGCACATATTGTACTTCAAATTTTGTATCTGATAAATCTAATGCAAATGGAGAACCTACTCGTACATGAATAATGGTTGGCATGCAACTGCAAGTGGGAGTAGCCAAGAATTATCTAGAGGTGAAAAAGGAATGGTTCATCGTGTCCAACAAAAAGTTTAGAACACTTTTTTGATCCTATTCCCCGTATGTGATTCCTTTCTTAATGTGTTATCCAAAAACAAGTTTTGCTTACATGCAGTCATAAGAAGAAATTTTTATATCAGAATGAGAGAGACAAAGTACCCAACTTTCTCTTTTACTCTTTCTTTGTCTAGGTTGCTAAATAGTAAATAACGAGCTAAGGAACTCTGAAGTCCTTAAATAAAAACTTGGACCTTGCTAAAAGACTAGTCTGTCTCAGAAAATGGTGGAAAATTAAAGCCATATAACTGAAAGCTACTTCTATGACAAGTGCAAGCTACATTAAATTCAGATTCTAAATATTGGTCACATAAGGGGAAGAGTATATAGTGCCAGCTTCGCACTTTATGCAAAGTGAAGGAGGCCTTCTATTCTATTGTTAGAGAGGTGCAAAGCAAGGTTAATCAGCACTCACCAACCCTTCTAAATGCTGCAACTTAATTTAATATCCCTTCTCGTACTCTTTTCATTTTAATTGAGAATAAAGTATGATTTGGACATGTCAACCAAAAAAAGTATGATTTGGACTTCATGTTAATTAAGATTTCATTTGAAACTAACAACTACAATTAAATTGGTAATTTAATATTTGCTAATTATTGACAGGAGATTGTTTCATCGATCCCAACTAGTTTAGGATAAAGGTGTTGTTGATGTTGTTAATATTGACGGGAGATTGTTCACTGACACAAGCTTTATATGTTTGATGATCTTATACTTCATGAAATAACCACAAAAGCATGATGCAAAGAGAGAGAGCTATAGCAGTATAGTGCTATTGATGTGTGAATCTGATCACACTTTACCTCATGAAAAAGGGAAATATTCTTATGCACCATAAAAAAGTGTAAAGAATCAAGAACCCAATATGTTGCTACTTGCTAGTGGGAGCATAGTTGTCCAAAATATTAACCCTTCTCAGAAATTTAGGCTTTCTCACTAAACTCTCCAGAAACTGATACAAGATTGACCATTCTCATTTCTAAACCATCAAATTGAATGAGTCGACACAAACACAAGGTCCCCTACATTTACAACAACCACATGCAATTCACTATCAACAATACACAAGCACCCCACAATTGAACTAACTAAACCAAGTTTCTCTTATCCCTCATACTAAAATTTCCAAGATGACCAAAGTTACCTAATGCTAATTGATGACCTTTGTCTTTGTCACACCATTATTGCACTAAACCTGACGCCAGAACATCATCAGCAACACCTATATCCTTCTTCACGCACTATTATCTCTCTCTCTCTCTCTCTCTGTCCCTCTCTTTTTCATTTCTATACCTTGACTCAAAACCAAGTCTCTACAAAGAGAATGGTGACTCCAACACAGAGTTGGAGGCCTCAAAAGCCTACAATAGTGCTGTTACTTTTATGCATTTCACTTGAATCTTCAGTTGAAGAAGCCATAACATCTTCTAAGAAGTTAGACACTGATATGAAGTGTGGATCATGTCCTTGTGGAAACACCTGCAGTGAGCAACTTCCCCCACCTCCACCACCTCCTTGTTCACCACCACCATCATCACCACCACCACCACCTCCGCTGCCACCACCGTCACCATCACCACCACCACCACCACCACCTCCCAAGTATCCCTCCTGCCCGGAGAATTGCAACCCTTTGTTGCCACTATCACCACCACCACCACCACCACCAAGGTTTATATATGTGCCTGTGCCAGGGCAACCTAAACCTTATACTTGGGTTTTTTATTACTCTGGTGCTGAAAAGAGAGTTGTGGGGTTGCTGGTTTTGGCTGCTTTGGGAGCACTTTCAATGGCAACGGTATTTGGATGATTTCATGAAGCTAAGGCTAAACTTCTAAAAAATAAGTTTAGTCTAAATGTTTGATTCTCTTCCTTATTCTTGTTCACATTTTTTTTTTCTATATTCAACTCAATTTTAATTTCCATGCACTTATGTCTTTCCTGGTCTAAACTTACAGGAAAATTGATTTTGATATGTGATGCACAATAATTCAAAATTAACCTTAGCTGCAAAATTTCTACTAGTACTTGCCTGTATGTTGCTTTTCAGTTTTGCTATAATATGTATGATAATCATATTTTGAGGAACATCAACTCTTTTCACCAGCTTGAAAAATATAGCTGCCATCATAAAGAAAAGAAAAATATGTACCTAGATTAAAATTTAAATCATGTAAACACGATTCGCTATGTAATTATCATTTGTAAAGTATGTGCCTTGAGATGTACCAAGATAAATAAATAAATAAAATAATGTGTCTTGATGTGAACAAAACATGAAAGTAATTAAACAGTCCCCGTTCTGAACCAATTGGAAGAAATTGAGGATTGGTTGGTTTGATCTATATACAAGATGGCGCAAAGAGTAGTTGTTAAATCAGGTTTCACACCTCCCTTTTTCATTCTTTCTTTCATTTTTCTTTTTCGCCTTTATTTGCACATTATTTCCCTTGTTAGTAAAGAATTTTTTAGAGTTTAATCTTTCTCGTGTCGTAAAAGTTAAAATCATCTTCTATACACACATAAAATTATATGAGATCTATATTTTTTTTTCTTTCTCTTTTTTCTCCTCACATGACCCTATATGAGCGACGTACACTTTTATGTATGTATATAGAAGATAATTTTATTTCCTACAACATTAAATTCATTATTTTAACTCAAAAACTATTAATTAAATATTGTATTAATAGTTAATTTTATATTATATTTTTTTAACATCATTGTCAATAAATTAACCAAGTGATATCACTCTTGATCCTAACATAAGACCTTAATGATTAATACATAACTTGTTACATGGCGGATAAGATAAAACGTGATTTGTTAAATAACTCAAAATTAAATACGAATTAATCAATTTACAAAAGTAAATTGATAGAGTATAATATAAGGATTATGATATAGGGTCGGTAACATTTTCTGCTGATGTCATGATCATTCTTTTGTAGGCAATACTTTTCACACCCTCAATCTACATCTGCTTTTAGGCGGTATTCAGCTTTTAAAGGCTTAGCAATTCTTAACACTTTGTGTCACTTATTTAGCATAAATTTAATGTACAAAAAATTGATCTATTTAAGATTTATAAATAAAATATTAAATAAGAAGTGTGAAGAACAACGATCCATGAGAAGGTCGTTAACCTTGTTGCCAATCTAATATAATGTTTTATGAGCAGCACTATATATGACGAAATTTTTTTTAATACGTCCGTAGTTGGTTTGTTAAAACACTTAGCATTTCTTTTGTTTCATTCAGTGACCAAACTTAGACAAGCCACCAGAAAAGAAAAGGCACAATGATGCGAGATGACAATTGTACATGCGCAGTAGCTTACAAAGTTATATTTCTACTTCAAAGTTTTCCCATCACATTTACATTGTAATGAAAAGGGAGGAGGATGTCAGGGAAGGGGGTTGATAAAATATCGACATGCCAAAGAAAAAACCAAAGGGAAGTTCTTTTTATTGTTAATACATAAAAAATTACAAATATTAATTTTTCATATTTTATTTCATTATCCAAGCTTTCCAGTATATAATATCAAGTAACCTACAGGTTAAATACAGCGGCACATAATCGAAATAACTCATTGCCTCCCTGAATCGGATGCCTCATAATAATAGTCAATCATGACAATGCAATAGAATATCATAGGCCGAAGAGCATCAAATCTGCAACAAGGCTGCACTGCTAAATCCCAGGTCTGAACCTGGAAGAAGTCTTCAAGATTTTGATGCTCCAGTGCAGCTGCATGCATAACAATAATATACTCTACTCATTCATACAGCACTGCAGTTCAATGCCTTGATTATATTACGATGCCAAATTGCAGTGTCTGGATCAAATCTCAATTCCCATGTAGGCCAATAATGCAAATCTTGCTTCAATGTTAGGACTCGTGGCTTCCCATTGAGGTGAATTGTCTTTACACGAACAAACTCTCCATGCTCTAGTTCCTGCCAACATTCAAGGAAAAATTATAATACATATATAATCTAAGAGAATACCGAAAAAGAAGCTTGGCTACTCCTAGACATAAATGTGTAGCAACAAAATCGTGATGTCATGTTATGAAACAGTACCATCACATCCTGACAAAAAATAACTATTTTTCAAGAAATGTGCAGATTTCCTAGTCGTAAAAAGCAATAGTTTGTAGCAGAAAAAGACCGCGAAGTCTTGAGGCACATCAGAACTCAGAAGCATCACAGGTTTACTAATTCCATAAATGTTTCATGCTAATAAGGGCAATCATTTTCTTCTTTCAAAGGAGAAAACTTTTCTCCTACTAGTGACTCATGACATAAGTGGGTCCTACTTTGAATTTTTTTCTTTCTCCACTATTTTGTAGACCCACTTTTTCCATGAGTTACTAGTAGGAGAAAATATTTTCCCAATAAGTAATAACACAACTTACAGTAAATGGGTAAATAAATTTCATCATATAACATAAAACGCCTACCATATCATATCATGTATTTAAGCTCTAAATAGGAAGAAAAGGGAGGTAACTTTGCTTATAAATGAAAATTGCATCTATGCGTAGTAAATTCCGTACCTTTGTCACATCAGCGAAAGAATCTAGATTTGGAGTTGGTTTACCATTAATTTCAACTATCCACTGAAGAGCATATAGACCATATCTATGTACAGGACTCCCATGACACCACCTGTGAATTTGACAAACTTTGTAAGCAGATGCTAAGTCACACGAGCGCAATGCGAGAGCAAAAATTAGACAAGATGTACTATGTCTACATTATTTATAAAAAAATTATGTATTTATTCAAAGGTGAACCCCAATATACGAAGTTTCCTGACTTTGCAAGGATAGGGGTGAGGCTTGCCATCCAAAAATTATGTATTCACAAAAATTAATAAAATTATTAAAGATTTGCTATTAGATAAATATTTTAAACTAATATCCATGAAAAATCAACATAAAAGTATCCATTAAAAAATAGTAATGAACTAATATATTATTTTTAAAAGAAAGAAACTGTTGTCTGGATTCCAAAACCACACTTGAGATAAAAACACAATATGATCAGACCACAAAGCTAGTGTGCAAATTTGACAGAGCGAATCTTCGAACTGTTCATGAATCCAATCTCAATCTGACAATCTGCACACTGGTGTGCAGAGCAGGGCAGAGAGGTACATGGACAAGTAGCATGACATAATGCAAATGTATCAAGACAAGTGCTCAAACTCTGTAATTAAGCAGATGTGGTGTGGAGAAGTTGAGTGAGGATGTTGGATAAATATGTCATATTAATATATTATTATTACTGATTCAGACCTTACATTTGATTATCTAGTCCGAGATCGAAGGCCATCACATGAAGTTGACATGACAGCAGTTTTGTAAGCATAGGATGAACACATGGTCAAAGTAGCTTGCTAAACACTTCACTACAGTAGGCCCTCAGACAATTGTAATATAAACATCCTACCATGCTGCTATCCATTAATCAGGCACTTTACCCTTTTGCAGAATTAAAAATTTGCAAGCACAAAGTTAAAATCATACCTTGCCACATATACACCATGACCTTCTTCAGGGAGAAATCCAAGAGCACGTACTGCTGGATGTGGATCTTGAACAATACAACCACACCAATTAATTGCACGAGTTGTGCCATTTCCATCCCTAACATCTGATCCCACAAAAAGTTCAACCTCTCGTCCCTGATCGACAACCGCACAAATGAATGATTAAGCTATAACCCACGTGCCTCAATAAAGAAGACAAAAAGTTCATGCAGCAGGCTCCACAAACTCACAATCCAAAGAAAGAAATAAAATAACTCTAAAATGAGAGCAAATATTCTCACATACCTGCCGAAAAATAGTCAGGTGAAGCTTCCCATCATTGGTAGAAGATTTGTCTAAAGCTTGGCAAGCATTTTCAATGTCATGGAAGCATGTGACTGGTTCTTTATTGATTGCTAAAACCATGTCCCCTTGTTCTAAAAGATTCTCAGCCTTTGATCCAGCCAAACAACCTTTAACACGTAAAACCTGTCGTCTTATTGGGTCTTTCTTAACAAGCGCCTACAATAATTGTCACCAAAAACCATTAATACCAAATCAGGACAATGGCAATATCAAAGCTAGTTCTTTCAAGAAGTGAAAGAAGGTAATAGAATCTAATAACTAAACAATAGATTAACAAAGAGACAATACAAATTATGGTCTTGCTTGAAATGTTTCTTAAAGTAGAGATGGACAAAAGATACACAGGAAGACTGTTAGCATTCTAGAGGGAAAACAACAAACAGCTAGACAATATAGCATGAAACAGATCAAAGAGACAGGAAACTAGATAATAGAGATATAGAACTGTGTATCTGTTATTGAGATACGGTAGAACAAGGAGAAGCTCCTTCAGAAAAGGGTTTCCCCTTCATAACTGAGTTCCAAGCCTCGGTTCAACTGACGAAATAGCCCCATCCATCTTCTGTACAACATATCCACCTAATTAACTACCACTCTACTGTCTTACCACTTGCCAGCTCATTTACAACCTTTTTAACTACCCTAACTGTCTAACAGTTTTTCCCCTTTGTTCCTATGCAAATACACCTTCCAGTCCCTCTCTTCATTAAGCTGAGGTCTAACCAAAAATGAAGACAGCTTGTCACCAGTACCAACCCACAATTTCAATTCAAGACAAAAATCACAAGAGAAACTATTTGGGTATACTATACTGCCACCTTATGATATTTGTCTAAACTACACTCGCATATAATCTTGTTTCAAAAAGCAACAGTAACCTCCCCCACTTTGAGTACATGCCACCCTACATGCTGTTTTTAAGAATTAATATTATGCATGCTACATGGAACCATCTGTAGAGATGAAAATACAAAGACAAGGGAGGTCAGACAAAAAATTAAAAGGTCAAACAGTCAGTGTAATTTCTGAAACAAGATGGTAATTTAGGCAAACCTCAAAGGAAGTTAGTGTAATTATTCAAATCAATTTTAGCCACTACAACTTGTGACAACCACATTCATTATAAATAGCATATAATTTTCTTATAGTGAAACCAAATGGGTTTTTACATTAATCATCCAAGGAACAAGAGAAGGAATAAAATCTTAAATTCTTCCACTGATAGATAATCATAAATATTGAAGCCTGTAACTTTGCATTCTTTTAATTGCTAAAATGAAAAATATTCTTAAAATATTGCACATTAAAAAGAAAGAAAATACCGTACAGGTAAAAGCACAAACTATAAATCACCAAAAAAAAAGCACAAACCATAAAGGGAAGATCTCTACCTGAATCCAATCATCACTTAATCCAAAACTCCGAGCCTTTGAAAGCAATGTTGGATAAAGTTCAACCTCTAAAATTCTAACAAGTGGCATAGGCCTTTTCACACCATTAATGAGAAGAGGTGGCCCATTTGCACCAGATACAATCTTGTCAAGGACCTGACTTATTGCATAAATTGGAATACCCCTCACAAATTGATGATCTTCTGATGAAGTGCAACCAAATTTCAGCTGGAACAAGGGATTTCAGCATCAGCAAAAATAAATAAAAAGAACATCACAATTCACAATCAGGGTTCATCAGACAAAAAAAAAAACACTCCTCATTAAACCCTAACTAGTGAGGGAAGGGATGAGGACAATCCTTATACGTAGTCTTACCCTTCCCTTCCACAAAAGATGAAAATAAAATTAAATAAAAAGTTATACATAATTACTATTTAAAAATGATTCCCCAGGAGTCTCACCCAACCTCACCCCCAAAAACTATACTTGTGGCATGTTTTGTAAACATAAAATTAAAAATAGGACTGAAATTAATAATTAAAAATAACTGCATGCTTTCTTGGTAGAAAAAAAGAATGAACAAATCACAATGGACACCATATATGATGAGCAATGAAGTGATAATGCAACGAGAACAGCCAAAAAAAGTATACATGTTTTCCACTGATTAACCCTTCTTTTTATGTTGCAGATACCGCCAATAAGAATATTATATAATTAATATTTATAATTGTAGTTTTTATTCCTCTCGACTTTCTATTGTGCCATCAAAGTGGTATAAAATAATTTTAGTAACCCATTTATAATATTCCCCACAAAGACAAAATTACAGTATTCCCATTGCACTCCGTTTTCCCTCTAGAGACCTTTAAAACTATCCAGTTTCCCCCCTCCACTCAAGCACATCTAGGATATAAAAAAATCACATAGAAAATTGCCTGAATTTTTACTAAAATGGTGTGGCATGTTAGTTTACTCTTAGATGGATGAGTGGTCCCTGCCAGTTTATTCCATCCAACAAACCTTAGAATTTGTGGCTATTTCATTCTAGCTGCGTAGTATTTTCCAATCACATATTTTAATCTTTCTAAGACTTAGACAGACCGATTAGAAAAACTAGTTTTTATACAAATTATTTTATTCTTTAACTTTAAAGATTTGTTATTCACTTTTGTAAAAGCCATGTTACTTCAAAGCCGTAAAAGGCCTTTATTAATTAATATTAGAATTTTAAATGAAAAGGAATAATGGCATATAGACTTCAAGGACCAACGAACCATCAGGTAGCGTTTTGAAGTTTGAGTACAATTTGTCTTCTCTCGTCTCTTTCCAGTTTTCGTCTTTCTTCTCTTTTCCTTCTTCTACGAGGACACAGCTGTTTGAAGTTAGGCTTTATTATGTTAAACAAATGAAAAGACCGAAAACTACCATAGAACAAATAGAATGTTGCAAGTCTCTCATCAGGGTATTTTACTCATTATGGTATCATATATTGACAAAGTCTAATTATTCTTCTTTAATTTCTATTCACAATTAGTATTAAGGTAGTATCAGACTGCGTCAATACAAAGGTCATTGGTTCAATTCCTACTAGTGGTTCTTCATCAGTAAGTCATTTATAGGTTCCACCATAAGCCATTGCCAAGGCTTGTGACTTACTGATAATTGATATTTAGTACACTTATTTGTTACTCTTGATTAGTAATTTTATGATCGTTTAGTGTTTAATAGTCTTTTAGGCTGAATTGGATGTTGGGCTTTTGATTGAGTTTAATTTGTTTTTCAAGCTAAAAATCCAGATTTACACTGTTGCAGTATTTTGAGCATAACTTATGTTCTAGGTATCCTATTAATCTCGTTCTTATCCCATTTTGCAGATAACTCAGAGAGCTATAAATGTTATGAAGACATGAAAGCCAAATTCGGACAAAAAAATGGTCAAAGTTGGAGCCAAAGTCAGAAATGAGATGATGAAATTTTAGTTAATTAATTGGGCTTAAGTTTGTATTGGGAACCCAATGTCAATGAGGCTCAAAGCCATTATTTCCGGTTCATTTCCTTTTATTTTAGGTCGGTTTTGTGAAGCCTTTAAAAAGACATGATCAAGAATCCTTGTAGTTCAGTTTTTAGTTTTCGTTTGAATTTGTGTTTTACAGTTTCCAAGATTAATACAATTTTCGTTTTTCTGTCTTTTGTTCTTCGCATGTTCTTCGTTTTCTTTCTTCAATTTTCGTTTTCTACTTAGCCATGCAAGGCTAAGCGTCCTTTAATCAATCCAAGGATTAAGGATTCCATGGTTGAATCCAGAGGACCTGTGCCTCCTTTCCATTCAATTCGTTTCTCTTCCCTTAACTCAGGTTTAACATCGCGTGATTGTGAGCGTTGAATCTGAGATCTATGATTGCACTCTAGGGAAGGGATTAAACGTTAAATTTAACGTTTAGGTTGATTAACCCAATGATCTTAAGTCGAACGGGTTGACACTCCGCGATTGCGCGATTTGACGCGTCGTATTCGATCAAACGCTAAGCGGTAGTCTAGATAGGGGTTCTACTAGAACTTGCTCCTTTTCTTTTTGAAATTACATTTTTCACTTGCATGCATAAATATGATAGAGACCTTCCTTCTTTTATTTTTCCCACTTTGGCCAGATAGCCATCCCTTGCATTATATTCTCCTTGGTTAGCCCCTTTGTCCCTTTTCATATCATTCTTATCTTAGCCACATTACAAGCCTAAGAGTAAAACCATTTGATCTCGCACCTTGAAAATTTATTGAGTATTGGTTTCACCTTAGTATTGTGTTTAAGTGTGGGGATTGTCCGAGACATGCAACATTTTAAGTGTGTGGGGAGACATTGCATTCATTTGGTCATTGTGTTTGCATAAATAGCTAATTGTCGAATTATTATTATAAAAAAAAAGTTGCTGAAAATATATGTATATAGAAAAAAGAGGGCAAACAAGAACAGTGGTAAAACTGTTTCTTTATGACTAAAAAATCATGGGTTCGAATCCAGGGAACAGCCTCTTTGCAATTATGTAAGGGTAAGGCTGCGTACAAAGATTTCCTCCACCCAACACTCACTAGTCGAGTTTAACGGGGAGTGATTTTTATATATATATATATATATATAGAAAAAGAAAATAGAAAAAGAAGAGAAATGCTGAAAAAAAAATACAGAAAAAGAGAAGAGATACAAAAAAAAGAAAGAGGAGAAAGAAATGATGAAAGAAAGAAAGATGGAAAAGAGAAAGGAAAAATAAAAAAGAAAAATGTTTATTTCAGTAATTTTGCATTATCTTTTTTCTGTTTTTTTTATCCTCGTTTCAGTTTTGTTTCTTTAGTTTAGTTCTCGACTAATTCTCTTTTAAATTTCTTAGGTGATTAGCCTCTTATTTCCATACTTATCCATACCTTCACCCTAGCCCCATTACAACCTTGAATAAAAAGTCTTCTTGATTTGTGCATGCATGTGTTTTGAGTAAAGAAGAAGTATAAGTTGAGCAAGCCTATGGTAGGGCAATTTTCTTGAGTGTAATTTGAGTGATACACTTGCTTACCCTATACACTTGAGAGATTGATTGAAAGCATCCCTTGAGAGACCATTTTGCATGATTAACATTATTAAATGAGATTACCATGTTTTGTAATTTGAAGATGAAGGAACATTTGTCTTGATTTGGTTGATCTTTTGAAGCTTTGTGATCCTTGTTCAATTTCTGTATTCTTGACAATTGTTAGAAAGGATAGGTTTATCTTTTAGTCTTTGTCGTTTCCTTAGTTTTGCTTTAAGTCCTAATTTTGCTCAGTAGCGCAAAAGGATAAGTGCAGGGGAATTTAATAATTGATATTTAGTATACTTATTTGTTACTCTTGATTAGTAATTTTAGGATCGTTTAGTGTTTAAGTAACAGTCTTTTAGGCGGAATTGGATGCTGGGTTTTTTATTGAGTTTAATTTGTTTTTCAAGCTAAAAGTCCAAATTTACACTGTTGCAGTATTTTGAGTATAACTTTTGTTCTAGATATCCAATTAATCTCGTTCTTATCCCATTTTGCAGATAACTCAGAGAGCTACAAATGTTATGAAGACATGAAATCCAAATTCGGACAAGAAGATGGTCAAAATTGGAGCAAAAATCAGAAACGAGATGCTGGAGTTTTAGTTAATTAATTGGGCTTAAGTTTGTAATTGGGAACCCAATGTCTATGAGGCCCAAAGCCATTTGATAAGAACCTTGGGATGCACCATCCCAAAAGGCAACTCAAAGGGTGAGAGTGCCCAAAACCTTATAAACCCCACATTAGTTGCTCATACAACCAATGTGGGACTCCAAGTCTCATACCTTGCAAATGGGTCCTAACATTCCACCACGCTCCGCAACCCCAACGCCCACGCGGGCTGGCTTTGCGCTAGTCTTTTTACTAGCCCAGGGCGAACACTGCAATGCCAACGTCACCAGCCGCGCCGCTCGATTGCAACTAGGAGACATAGTGGAAGGCTTTGATACCATTTGATAAGAACCTTGGGATGTACCACCCCAAAAGCTAGCTCAAAGAGTGGGAATGTCCAAGGCCTTATAAACCCCACATTAGATGCCCATACAACCAATGTGGGACTCCAAGTCCCATACCTTGCAAATGGGTCCTAAACCATTATTTCCTTTTATTTTAGGTCGGTTTTGTGAAGCCTTTTAAAAAGGCATGAATAGAAATCCTTGTAGTTCCGCGTTTAGTTTTCGTTTGAATTTGTGTTTTACAGTTTTCAAGATTAATACAATTTTCGTTTTTCTGTCTTCTGATCTTCGCATGTTCTTCGTTTTCTTCAATTTTCATTTCCTACTTAGCCATGCAGGGCTAAACGTCCTTTAATCTAGTCCAAGGATTAAGGATTCCATGGTTGAATCCGGAGGACCTGCGCCTCCTTTGCATTCAACTCGTTTCTCTTCCCTTAACTCAGATTGAACATCGCGTGATTGTGGGTGTTGAATCTGAGATCTGCGATTGCACTCTAGGGAAGGGACTTGTTAGAGATATATAAAACCATTAATGTAACATCACCCAATAGCTTAAGCTTTGGGTTGAATTGATTTTTTACATGGTATCAGAGCCTCGGTGTCACGGGTTCGATCCTTACCCCCCCCCCCCCCCCACTTTCTCTTGTGGAATTTATTAACACAAGTACAATGGGCCTAATGCATCATCCACCCTTCAAGACCAATGGGCTATTGTGTAAAGGAGCATGTTAGAGATATAAAACCATTAATATAACCTCATCCAACAGCTTAAGCTTTTGGGTTGAATTGGTTCTTTACAAGATTAAACGTTACATTTAACGTTTAGGTTGATTAACCCAATGATCTGAAGCAGTGTTTAAAAACTCGGCCCGGCCATCGACCCGGCCGAGGTCAGGGGTCACGGGTTCACTATGCCGACCCGGTTTTATATATTAAAAAAATATAAATATATATATCCTATATGAAAATATTAAAAAGCAATTCACCAATCATCAAAGATTCAAAATATCCTTAACATAATTCACCAATTATAACCACAAATCAATATTACACAACCTAATTAAAGTATCAAGACACCAAAGTACAAAACTCATATTCTAATGATACCAAATTATCAAGATACCACATGTCTAGGTCGTTTAGAGAGAAGAGAACGATTAGATTTAGGTTTGCAAGCATTTTTATTTTTATTTTTTAATAAAACGACGTTGTTTCATGGAATTTTCTTTATAAAAAAAAACATGCAGTGACCTCCTTTGACCCCTCTGATTCGGGAGTCACTGAAACTCGTCCGGGTTTTGGGGGTCGGAGGGGTCGATGTGCATATAGGGTCCAACTTATGACCCCAACCCTCAGAAGGGAGGGGTCAGGGTTGACCCGGGGGGTGGGGTAGGGTTTTAAAACACTGATCTGAAGTCGAACAGGTTGATACTCTGCGATTGCGCAAGTAGACGCGTCATATTCAATCAAACGCTAGACGATCATCTAGAGAGGGGTTTCTAAACGAATGCAGAGATTCCAATTTGTTTAGGATCAACCACAATTTTGGGTAATTATTTGTCCAATGATGGATGTTCTTTGAATCCTAATTCTTGGGTTGGTTGCTTTTGAATAGATAATTTCCGTTTTTACAATCTTAATTTACTTTCCGTTTTTAATAGCATAAAACCCCCTTTTTATACTTTCTGTTTTAATTGATCGATTAAGTTCCTTGCAGATTCCTTGAGAGAGACGATTCAAGTTGTGCCCTCTACTACAAATCCTTATAACCTGATAATTTGACGAGAGTTCGACCGTTCACGCCACTTATCTTGACCTTGAAATAAGGCAACCTCATCTCCCACTAAACTTCTATTAACCAAAAAAATAGAAATCAAAATTAAGGGTTTATTAGTGTCAATTGTCAAGCAACAAACTTTACTAAAAGTTTAAGCTATTAGAACAAAAACTGAGAGTAATTCTTACTAGAATTTCTAATACACTCTCATCACGCAAAAACAAAAAGGAAAAAAGGTTTGAAGCACAGGAATTACACGGGGCACAGGCTTACCCATGTATCATGCTGAAATTAATTTAACAAAGAAAAAGGAGCAGAAAGTTTGAACTTTTGACATTTAGTCAAAAAGGCACTCATGTCAAATGATGAAAACTCTGTTCGGAAAATGCTCAGAAATGGATTATATTAATGTCTTGAGAATTAATTTACCATCCAATTTTAGTATTTTTTCGTATCATGACCCCAATGAAAAATATCCATATCCATCCCAGCAAGCAGAGAATAAGTGTTATAAACCTGAGTAGAGAAGCTTCCCCATATAGCTTGGACCCTTCCTTGTTCGTCTGTTAGCACACCCGAAAATGTACTACCAAAATCTGTATTTAAACACATGAAAAGTAAGACATTAATCCGCATAAGTAACATGCTGGTAAAAAAGTAAAAGGAAAAGAAAAAAAAAAGAACTTGTCCAAATTTACCAGTATCCAGCTCAATTACTTCCATGTTGGTTGCTCTGTAACGTGGGGAATCAGCAGATCCTATATTTAATGCAGCGCAAGGATTGGTAACAACTGATTTCCTAGAAGTTGCTTGAAGGCTTCTACTCAACCCCACAAGGTAAACAGAATCCCCTCGACGTAATGCCGGCTCTGGACAAGAAAAATGTACTAAATATGAGCCTATCCTCAATATAGATAAATGATTGTGGAAGTGCACTAAATATGAGCCTTTCCTCAATATAGATAAATGATTGTGGAGGTGCACGTGCCCTCAAAACCTCTGCCTTCTCACATCATATAAATCTAAAATGTATAGTTTTTCAGACAAGCTCATTTTACCCTTAAAATGTTCTCTTATCTGTTGCTAGAGTTATTTAATCATTTATCAAAATCAATAAACTTCCACACAAAAAAGCAAAACTATAAAATATCAGCTACAAAAGTTTATCACGTCCACAGTTATCACGCTACCCTCGCTGTCACTGGTATGATAAGTGTTCCTTGAGAGAAAGGGGACCAAAGAAATTGGACCTCAGAGCAACAGCAAATAAAAAAATCCCAAATTCTTTTTTCTTTTCAGTCCCTAGGGGGAGCCAGTTAGCTTTTCTCCATTTAGCCAAGGTATGGATAGTAGTCTTTATGGGTCCGTTGCAGTCACATTAAAACAGTAGAAATTAGCAATTACATGGTGAAACCCACCTGGAAGTAACTCTGCAGCGCGAACCACTGAGGCGCCAACAAGTCCCAAAGCAGAGGGATCATATGATATGAGAGCATAATTATGGACAGGATGGAGAAATACCACCTACAATTAAGAAATAGGGACAAGAAGCTAAAGAAAGACAGTTTTCATGTTTATTCATTTGTATTAGGATCCCATTCTTTTAGAAAGATTTACCTCTCCTGGAATTTCAACTGGGAAAGCAGCGAAGGATAGCATCACATCAGAGGAAGATATTGCAACTGTATTCTTGTCAACTGCAACTAATCCCATATCTTGAGAGTGATATATTATGACACCAGTTCCAAAAAAGTGCTGTGAATGAACGCCATCAAGCATACAAGATGGAGGAACATGAACCTGCATTTCCCACAGGAATTTAGTATAACAAGTTTCAAGGTATATGATTACATTTCCATGAATGACATTTTTAAATACTATGGCCAAGAATGTTATTTTTGGGTAAATTCAAAAGTATGTCAAATGATGGGAGAGAAAAAGTGGGAGGGAAAGTGGAGGTTAATAGTTGGGTAACAAAATAATTTCCATTACTACGGAAAGCAACATACTCACCCCTCATCATGGGAATGAAAATAAAGCAAAACATGGAAATGTCACTTTCTTGGGAATCAATAACGTTTAATAATTTTTAAAGCTTGTCCCAAACATAAAAATGTCATATTCCCTAGCATACTTTCACAGAAATAACTTGACAATCCTTGTAACAAACACAACCTTAAAAAAAGATTACTTGATTGTTAATAAAATTGTTAAGTCGGACATCATAACACAAACAGTAGGACAGGTTGCTAATGAAGAACAGGTAGGAGACACTGAAGTAAGCTAATATGCATCAATTCTAGAAAATTCTAGGATATGATAAATAAACTACTATAAATATATGGATAAAGGATTTCTCCGGTCTATGGAGATAAGTTATCTCCGGTGAGCCCAAAACGACGTCATTTTAGGGCGAAAATCAAGGTATTTTTGTAATTATAATATATTGCAGGGTTATATTAGTCTTTATCATTATAATTTTTTAATCTTATAACCCCAAAACGACGTCGTTTTGAACTCACTGGAGATAACTTTATCTCTGATGACTGGAGAAATACTCTTCCCTAAATATATATACCTGAATATATCGCTAAATAGCACCGAAATTAAAATTAACATAGTTAGGCTTATTATCTTATCATTTTGTAAACGAACAAAAATGCCTCCCCCCCCCCCCCAAACAAAAAAATAAAAAAAAAATTGAACTTCAATGGTCAAAGCTTTTTGGGTCAGAATGAAAGTTTTCCCTGTTCCAAATATCAGAAACATACATCAAAATGCAACTAATCATAAGATTGAAACATTTCAAAACACGTTTCTAATCAGTTAAAAAATAACTTCCAATTAAGCCAAAAGACAAAAAAAAACCAAAGCCCACCAAAAAAATTGTTAAATTTTGCTAAATATTATATAATAATTTGTTAGAACTTAGAACTGAAAAGAAGCTTAGACAGTAATAGAAAGGAAGTCACAGAATTCTATTGCGCTCAGTGATATTGAACAGATATCAGAGGCTTGTGGAATGGAAATTAAACTGCAAGGGAAAGATACAGCATGTGTTCTTAGAGCCCTGCACTCTCCTATTCTCTCTCTCTTCAACTCAATTCCTTCTCCCCTCGCTTCCCTCCCCTCATCCCTTTTTATGCTTTCTGATTCCCATTCTGTTACAACTAGTTTTTCTGCCCAAAATCTAGTCACACGCATTCATTGCCTTGTCTATGGCTCTAATCACCTGTGGCTCTTCCTAGTGTAAACCCTGATGATAGGTGGTGTCCTAACATAATTTTTTTATCAAAATGAACCGAAACTCTTCTGACACCCCCAAAATTTACTAAATTTGTAAAAGTTTTGGTACTTTTTAATGAGGTTATCTTGAAACTCAAGGAGGATACCCCAAATATATCATTTCAGTATGATACATGCACCTATACCATGCTTTTCAGTTAAGCAACTAAATAAAACTGTGATAAAATTTATGAATAATACCTCAAACATCACAAGAGTAGGCTCGATCACACGCTCAGAAACTGATGCATTTGCTGTGGCAGCAGTTGCTCCTTGATAGTCCATTAACTCATCATCCTGTATAACACCTGATTTTTCAAGCTTAGTTTCCCTGGTTTCATTTAAGGAAAAATCAGCAACAACACTTCCATCAGCTGATAAAGCTTCCTCCACTCTTCGTTTTTTCACCACGCCATCAAATGCATTGTGGTGAGATGCATACTCTGAAGGATCTTCATAATTGGTTTCCATGCTAGTGACACCATTAACCAACTCTTGATTGTTACCTTCACTCACATGTTCCGCACAAGCATGCTCACCAGTTAGTGAATCAGGCTGTCTGGCCAGATTTCCAACATCTTTGGGACAAGATGATAGAAAAAGGGAATTGGGCTGACAGGCAGGCTTAGCAATCCAGAGGCCAGTACTGTCATCACGAGTGTATATCAGGGGAGGTGCATACCATTCATGGCGATCAACCGTCACGAGCACAGACTGCATCGATCAGATAAGTTCATGAAACAAAAGCAGCAGTGAGTTATATACTCAAGATACACCTCAATTCACTGATGCACCAAAGAAATATAGATACAAACATATAAATTATAAATATACCACTGCTTCTAACATGAAAATATTATCATGTCAGAAAGTCAATCAAGTTCTAAAATCAGCACTAAATTTCAAGTTCAATTATCCACGTGAACAAAGGATGATAATTCACTCCAACCATACATGTAACATAAAACATTGATGGATTACTGATACTCAGCAACATGAATATGCTCGTTGAGACCACTTTAGAGTTAGAATAAAGTTACATCATTAAAAAGAAGGTAAGGATCCGTTTTTTTTTACAGATTTTTACAAATTACACTATGTACTCTCGGAAGTACATAGTTTAACCTAGTGTACTTCCGGGAGTACATAGTGTAGTTTGTAAGAGTTTGTAAACAAAAAGTTTATAAATATAACCCTCCCCAAAAAAGGGAAAGGATCTATTTACAAATTTTTGCAAATTACACAATATACTCCCGAAAGTACATAGTGTAACCTAGTGTACTTCCGGGAGTACATAGTGTAGTTTGTAAGAGTTTGTAAACAAAAAGTTTGTAAATATAACCCTCCCCTTAAAAAAAATTATAGATTAAAATTTTGGATCAAAAACTCACAACATGTAAATCATGGTTGTAGAGTTTGATGTTTATTAGAATTTAATTATGTTCCAAAAGATTAACATTCCATAAGAAATTTAAAACATAAAAATTATACACTACTTGATTTTTTTACTATTTATTTGATATATCTAAAAATTATATATCTAATCATTTTTGGTTGAATCAATGATGATCAAATTCTAAACACTATTTGATGTTGTGTCAAGTCATACATTAGTGCCCATGGGTCCTAAGTTCCTAAATCATATATACTTATTGGGAAAAAGACTTCTCATGTTGCATGAGAAGTCTCCTCTCCTACCACTCTCACTTTCGATGTCCGTGCCTATTACTTTTCTATATTTTATTTTTTTCTTTAAGGTGGGCCCTACCTCTTTCTCTCTCTGTAGGAAAACTTGAATTTCTCATGCAACATGAGAAATTGCAAGCCCATACTTATTAATCAACATTTATTAACCATAATACTAATAAAAAGAATCAAATAACATGTACAACCATAATAGCTGACTTCTACAAAATCTAAGGAACATATTCTAAATATGTATGCTGAACACAAGTATACATAGATCGAGGTATGCCAAGTGCATATCCTAAAATCTTATAGAGCAAAGAAAAGGAAAGGTAATTCTAAATAGAAAATTCAATGTTTTTTATCAGAACCAAAATGTAGAAATAAGAAATGGAAGGAAAAACTGGTGTGGGTATTGGTTAATGTAGGAAATCAGGATTCAAATATTTCCGTTTTTATTTCCTATTAATTAGGATTGATTAAGATTGATTGATTATAATTGATTAGGATTGATTATGATTGATTGATTAGGATTGATTTTGATTGATTGATTAGGATTGATTAGTCATCGCTGAGTCATTCTTAGCGACTCTTTCTTGTATAAATACTCCTTATGTAATTTATTCAAATAAATACAAAGAAATACAAAATTCTTTATGGTATCAAAGCCTTGCGCCCCCCACTTTCTCTTGTGGACTTTCTAAGCACAGGTAGGCTGGGCCAGTTGCATCTTCCATTCTTCTAGCCCAATGGGCTCTCGTGTGAGGGGGCATGTTGAGATATATAGTCCCACATTGGTTGTATGAGCAACTAATGTGGAGTTTATAAGGCCTTGGGCACTCCCACCCTTTGAGCTAGCTTTTGGGGTAGTGTATCCCAAGGTTCTTTACATGGTATCAAGAGCGTGTTCGTTCCTACCCTAAATTAGTCGTCTTCGAGGCTGAAATACCATCCAAATATCATTAAAAACACCTCCTCAATTCTGTCCAAACCCAGAAACCTTATCTACAGACCTCCAATCAAGAAAGTGAAGTGACCATTTGACTCAGAAGGCTCCGACGAGTTGAACGCCACTTGACCTATCACCGTCAGCCGCCACGTGCCGTCACACGCGCGGCCAGCCTCCGGCACGCGAGCTTCACGTGCCACCTTCCCGGTGTCTTTTTTCGCCACGCCTTGCACAGAACCTCTCGCTGGAGTCTCCCTTTCATGTTCCGGAGGTCAGATCTGAAAAAATAAAACTTGATTTTTTCATCCACGGTCAAGTCCTCTCTCTTCCTTCATGTCTTCCTCAGAGCATTCTTCTGCTTCCTCATCTGTTCCCAATACTCAGTTCTCTGGAGACAACTTAAGTATGCAGATTACTAGTCACCGGTTGAACGGTAAAAATTTTCTGTAATGGTTTCAATCTGTTAAGTTGGTGATCCGTGCAAAAGGTAAGATGGGTTATCTTGAGGGAAAATTGGGAGATTAATAATTCCTTGGTAATGGCAATGCTGACTAATTCCATGGAACCACATATTGGCCAAACCTATTTGTTCTTCGATACTGTCAAGGACATTTGGGATGCTGTTCAACAAAATTATTCAGATCTGGAGAATACCTCTCAAGTCTTTGAACTGAGAAATAAGTTGAGAGACTTTCGTCAAAGGGGTATGAGAATTACTGAATATTTTACTGCACTAACAAATTTATAGCAGGAACTGGATCTTTATTATGCATCCGATCTTAAAGGATTGGAAGCAAATACCCAGTTTAAAAACACTTGGAGAAGGAACGACTATATGATTTTCTTGCTGGCCTCAACCAAGATCTTGATGATGTTCGTGGTCGAATATTGGGACAACGACCCTTACCCTCACTTGCTAATGCCTTTGCTGAAGTTCGTAGAGAAGCAAGTAGACGGAGAATTATGCTGGGAGAAAATGAGTCAATTGATAAGTCTGATGATATGTCTGCATTGGCTGCCAAACGTACCTTTGACCGTTCCTCTGGAGAATCAAAACGGGATGGTCGTCCATGGTGCACCCACTGCAATAAAATTGGTCATACCCGTGAGAAATGTTGGGAAATCCACGGGAAACCTGCAAATTGGAAGCCAAAAGGACAGAATAAAGGTCGTGCATATCAGGTCTCTACTGATGACAAGATTGATGAGCCTCATGCATCCTCTGACTCAGATGGTGTTTTTCTTAGCAAAACTCAGTTTGAACAACTTCAAAGACTTTTGACTCAACCTCCTAAGGCCACTAGTAATGAGGCCCAGCAAGGTACAGCTTTCCATGTTGATAGTCAAAATCATTGGATCCTTGATTCTGGAGCCTCTGACCATATGACAGGTAATCCGAGCTTGTTCTGTTCATACACTCCATACTTTGAACCCTCTCGGGTCAAGATCGCCGATGGCAGTTTTTCCCATATTGCAGGACACGAAACCATTAAACTTTCTGAGCTGATTAATTTAACACAAGTTCTTTATGTTCCTTCTCTGGCTTGTAATCTCATTTCCATAAGCAAGCTGACTTCTGAGTTGCATTGTTTTGCTAAATTCTTTCCTCATGGTTGTGTTTTTCAGGAACAAGACTCGGAGAGGATGATTGGCAGTGCTAGAGAGGATGGTGGACTTTACTACTTTGAGGAGGATGTGACTCATGAAGCTGTTTTTGTGGAAAAAAACTCTATGTTTCCTTTTGATTCATGTAATGATGTTATGCTGTGGCATCGTAGGCTAGGCCATCCAAATTTTAACTATCTTCAGAAGTTGTTACCAAACTTATTTATTAATAAAAGTCCTAGTTTGTTTTCTTGTGATATTTGTCAACTTGCCAAGCATACTCGTGTTCATTATCCTTCTAAAGTTCACCATGATTCTTCCCCATTTTCTTTAATTCATAGTGACATATGGGGTCCAGCCCGTGTAAAGAATATTTCAGGTGTTCGATGGTTCATTACCTTCATTGATGACCATTCTCGAGTTTGTTGGGTATACCTTCTAAAGGACAAGTCAGATGCTGCATCCATTTTTAAAAAAATTCATGCCATGGTTCAAACCCAATTCCAAGCTGCTATACAAATTCTGCGTACAGATAATGGCAAAGAGTATTTTAACTCCATTCTTGGAGAATATCTTTCCCAACATGGCATCCTTCACCAAAGCTCGTGTCCTGACACACCCCAACAAAACGGAGTTGCGGAAAGAAAAAACCGACATCTCCTTGAAGTTGCTCGGGCTCTTATGTTCACTATGAGTGTTCCTAAATACCTTTGGGGGGAAGTCGTTCTCACTGCCTTGTATCTGATCAATCGAATGCCATCTCGCATTCTCAAATTTCAATCTCCTATTTCTAGTTTTTTCCGCAGCTTCCCTTCCTTTCGAGGCGTCTCCTCCCTACCTCTCAAGTTATTTGGTTGTGTTGTATTTGTCCATATTCCCTCTCATCAACGGTCTAAGCTTGATCATATGTCTCTCCGGTGTGTCTTTGTTGGTTATTCTCCCACTCAACGTGGCTATAAGTGTTATTCTCCCTCTCTTCGTAAGGTCTTTGTCTCTATGGATGTCACCTTTTCTAAGACTCAACCTTTCTTTCCCTTGACTTCTCTTCAGGGGGAGTCTATAGGAGCAGATGAAGATCAGTCATGGGAACCTACTGATGCCACAGTATTACCTCTACTATTGGAAACCCAACTACAGAATCCTCACTATCCGGAGCCTCCTCAAAGTGGGGAAAAGTTTATAACAGGCGAAAGCCTCTTCAAAGTGTAAATAACCCAGAGCCTCTACATTGCCAGGATTCTGAACCATGTTCTAGTTCCAGCACCCCAACGCTTGAGTGTCATGATAAAAATGATCTACACTTGCCTGTTGCTCTCAGAAAAGGTACTCGATCTTGTACTACTCATCCTATTTCTAATCATATTTCATATGAAAAGTTGTCCCCAGGGTTCCGTACTTTCAATACTATGTTGGATAGTAAAAAGATACCGAGAAATATACATAAGGCTCTCGATGATAAAAAATGGAGGGATGCTGTCTTTGAAGAAATGAATTCTTTAGAAAGAAATGCAACTTGGGAGATAGTGACCCTACCAAAGGAAAAACAGGCAGTAGGATGCAAATGGGTGTTTACAATAAAATTCAATGCGGATAATAGCATCAACAGATACAAGGCAAGATTGGTTGCAAAAGGGTTCACACAAACTCATGGGATAGATTATCATGAGACTTTTGCTCCAGTTGCTAAAGTCAATACCATCCGAGTTCTGTTATCACTTGCTGCCAACCTAGATTGGCCTCTGCAACAGTTGGATGTGAAGAATGCATTCCTAAATGGTGACTTACATGAAGAAGTCTATATGGATCCTCCACCTGGTTTTGAAAAGGAAAATTGATCAGTGTGTAAACTAAAAAAGTCTCTATGGGTTGAAACAGTCTCCTAGAGAATGGTTTGACAAATTCACACAAGCTGTCAAAAGAAGAGGCTTCATTCAAGCACAGACTGATCACACTCTCTTCCACAAACACTCTAAGGATGATAAAATTGCTATTCTTATTGTGTACGTAGATGACATAGTCCTTACAGGTGACAATATTGAGGAATTGAACTCCTTGAAGAAGTATCTAGCAACTCAGTTTGAATTAAAGGATCTTGCCACTCTCAAATATTTCCTTGGTATGGAAGTTGCTAGGAGCAAAACAGGAATCACTCTCACAAAAGAAATATGTTCTAGATCTTTTGGTGGAAACTGGAATGTTAGGGTGTAAGCCTGCTGAGACACCTGTGGAACCTAATACCAAGATAGGTATTGAAGATGGGAATGAGGTGGATAAAGAACAATATCAGATATTGGTTGGCAAACTAATTTACTTATCTCACACGCGTCCTAACATTGCCTTTGCGGTGAGTATGGTTAGTCAATTCATGCACTCACCCAAGGAGAAGCATCTTAGTGCAGTCTATAGGGTGCTCAGATACCTCAAGAACACTCCAGGAAGAGGATTATTCTTTAAAAGAGGGTATAAAAGGACGATTGAAATCTACACTAATGCAGAATGGGCAGGATCATCAGTAGACAGGAGATCTACCTCATGCCATTGCACCTGTGTGTGGGGAAATCTTGTTACTTGGAGAAGCAAAAAGCAAACGGTGGTTGCAAGAAGTAGTGTTGAAGCAGAATTTCGAGCTTTAGCTCATGGAGTTTGTGAAGGAATCTGGTTGAGAAGACTTCTTCAAGAGTTGAAGATTTCATATTCCCTACCAATAAAACTATATTGTGACAACAAGGCAGCTGTCAGCATTGCTCAAAATCCTGTGCATCATGATCGAACAAAGCACGTGGAAGTTGATCGCCACTTCATCAAAGAAAAATTAGATGATGGAAGTGTGCGTATGATGTATGTTCCTACCAAAGAGCAGACTGCAGATATACTTACAAGGGGGCCTACACCGTCCAGCATTCAAAGACTTGATTGGCAAGTTGGGAATGATCAACATTTATCTCCCAACTTGAGGGGGAGTGTAGGAAATCAGGATTCAAATATTTCCGTTTTTATTTCCTATTAATTAGGATTGATTAGGATTGATTATGATTGATTATGATTGACTAGTCATCGCTGAGTCATTCTTAGCGACTCTTTCTTGTATAAATACTCCTTATGTAATTTATTCAAATAAATACAAAGAAATACAAAATTCTTTAGTTAAGGCTGGCAATTCAACAACAGCAGTACATGTTATGTTGGAAAACTGAGAAAAAACACAGAAGGTAAAAAAGCAAGAAGGAAAAGATAGGTTTGAGCAGGAAAAGATAGATTTGAGCAATTCAAGAGGCTCCAGATGTCTCTCCCAATTCTGGTTTCCCAGCCCAAGTGTGTCCAAAATCCATCCCCCCCACCCCAAAAACAAAAAACCAAAAAATTCCACATGCTCCTTGCTCTATTTAACAAACTCTCCTATCCACCTTGCCACCTCAATAATGATTATTTTCTCACTTCTAACAGAATTGCACCCTTCAGGTATGTATGTTGTTATCTAGAATATTCCCCAGTATTGTTGAGTTACCCTTCCCTTGATGTTGTATTAGTTTTCTTTGAAATACAATACGCACAATCTAATCAATGAGGAATTGCTTTCTATTCATGAACCACTAGGACATAATTTATTGCAATATATAGATCAAGGTTTTAAAGGGTAAAGCAGCTCTATATGAAAGTCACATCAACAGGAAATCACCAGTATCTGGAAATATATATTCATTAAATATCATATGTCTTGAATGTATAGTAACCGCTACCTTCCTTCGATGACGATCCATGTAGCTTATATACTCCAATGGTACTCGAGCACCCCTAGATAGCTTAGAGAGAACTGATATTAATTCCTCAAGGCAAGATATTTCCTCACCAGCAAATTTCTTAATTATTGCATGGCGAGGAACGCCTGCTCTTACAAGCATATATCTGCAAAAGGTAATTACCACATGTTCAATAAACCACATGCCATACACCAAAATGTTAAATAAACATCACAAGGATCCTCTCCATCGAGGAACAACCCCTTGTGCATGAAGGGAGAAGTTATGCTAGACTCAAGGTTATTCATAAATTTGTCAAGTGGTGAACAACTTTTAAGGAATTCTTGAATACATCAAGAGATAAATCTTATAAGATCATCAAGAAGTTATAGAAAATTAACAATTTCACTAACCTGGATGTAATTATAATTTTGATTAGCATAACCTATCAATATAAACTACAATCGACTAATATTTTCTGTGGCCTGTATCAAGTTTGGAACAGTCAATGTCTATCTAGGCATACATACCCTGGTTCAGTCACATAAACAAGACCACAATGGAAGCGGAAGTTTCTAGCCTGCATTAAAGAAAATGATAAACAACACCATTATGAGATAGGTAAGTTAAAATTAGAAGAGTAACAGAAGCAACCTTAGAGAGGGGTGAATAACATATTGGGAGTTGCAACAATAACAATTGAATGCCAGGTGTTGTATAACACCATAATACGTCCAGATAACTATGTTGCAGTAACCACAAAAAGAAACAAAGTGGTACACTATATCATAATTCATAAGTAACAGATGACAAATTGACCATTTATAGCAATTTAGCAAACAGTAATTTAACAGAAGACAGGCATTCATAGACAGATAGACATATAGAATGAAAGCAAAAGGCCAAAAGCTACTCTGTAATAATTTCTTAACTATCAGGAACATGGTCAATATTCAAGACACATTTATTCATTTAAATGCCACCTCATTCAGCCACTCAACTGCAAGCAAAATCATATTCAACTATGTTTTCTTCAGAGAAGACAATAAAATAAGCACATAACAATCCAAGTACAGTCCAACTAACCTGCTGATAAGAAAGAGGATGTATTACTGCCCCACTAACTTCTAAGAAATAATTGGGAGTTATTGAGTGCAAATCCTGCACCTGAGATGAACATTTGAAAAAAATAATTAGCATAACAGTAAGCAATAATTGGATTTTCATTATTCAAGCTGTTGGTCAAATCGCAAGCCAGGTTCATAGTAGTAACTAAGAACCTAGGAACCCAACGTTACTTTATATTTTCATCAGTTACTTTCTGTTCAGTAATACTTCATGGGTAAATATTTCCCTCTTTCATGGGTGGCAAAATGTGAGATGTCAGTTGGATTGGTCTTCCAAGTTGAGTCCATACTCCATGTGACAGGTGGTCAAGCCCCATGTCAGGCAAGCCAAAAATTATAAGTATCATGCATTTGGTTACAAAGGATTAAAGGATCGCAAAAAACTTCAGAAAATTACAAGCCACTTTATTACTTTCAAACAAAATTGTTATAACAGTATCATTCTAGTATATCAGTAACTGTATTCAGCGGTGGCAAAATGGGCCCAACCCGTCGGGTTGGCCCGTTAAACCCGCCACAAATGGCAGGTTGGGTTGAGATTTTCAACCCGGCCCATATAAGAGTGGGTCACAACGAGTTCAACCCGCGGGTCATTTTTTAAAAAAAATTGTTAAATAGTATTTTATTTGTCACAGATTTTGTGATATCCAAAAAAATTTATCTTAATACTTCCCTAGAAAAAAAACTTTATTTATGACAAAAGTTATCCATATATGGAGGCAAAAATGAGTTCCTAGAGAATGTCTGACTGAATATTAACATACATTTAAGCTTGAGATTGGAAAAAACTAAGGGGAGTGAAATGAAATTAAATAATATTATGAAATTTATAAAATATAATTTATTTTTAAATTTTAATTACTTTTATTTTTTAAACGGGTTGACCGGCTAACCCGTCATAAAATAGGATGGGTTGATATTTTCAACCCACATTCAAGAGGCGGGCCAACCCGCCCCACCCCGTTTTTGGCGGGTTGGCAGCTGGTCAGAGCGGGCCAACCTACTTTGCCACCTATGAGTCCCACTAAGTTTTGATGAAATTAGAGGGATGTACAAAGTACAATTTTGTCGATGCTTTTATTTATTTACCATTTTATGCAGTTAGGATTTCTTTAGCCCCACTCTTCAGAAAGAGTGGAGGTTGCAAGTTGATCACCATAGTCCCAAAGTTCTTTGCATTTGGGTATGTCACAAAGTACTAATAAGGTTATATCCAAGCAAAAAATATCTCACCAGCAAAGTCAAATTCTTGGATGTGCCGCCTCTTTCAATTTGTAATTCAATATTCTTGTTTACACTATCATCAAGTATAGTCTCCAGTTTCAGGAACTGAGTAATGACCTGCAATGAATTTTATGGAGTCAAGCTCTAGTAAAGAGATTAAGAAAAGCTTCTCCTGCACCTATATCAACCACAAACAGTACACAGACGATGAAAGTCCCCATTTTTGCAGTTTCCATGAGCAAGAAAGGAATTCTTGAAACCAATAATCTCTCAAAAAAACATGTTAAAAACTTTTAAAAGATGAAGTTAATTAAGTTATCAAAATTAAGAGGCCATTATTTAGGAATCCTAAAAATCCATACTTTTTCAAAATTGCTTTTTTCAACAAATGGGTGACAAAATAGACATAGTAGATTCAAAAAATATAAGACATAATAGAATGCAATTCGCATTTGTTACTTGTCCAAGTAGCAGTCTCCTTGTCATAGTACCTAAGCTAAGCATAATTATCATGAGCAGCAGTTCGGATGTACAACATTACATCTACTTCTATCCAGATAAGTTGCTGATACCAATTTTTTTCCTTCTACATCAGCCCTCCATAATCAAGTATGACATTCATATAACCATTTCTCATTCTTTTACATGAAATCTATACCCTAGAATTTCACCAAGGACAATATACAAACTAAATCAACAAAGAAAGGAAGGAAGGAAATAAAGGGGGAGATCAGGAAAACAAAAATTTCCCTTCAGACAAACTTACTTCCCCATTGACGCGAACAAGTACATCACCAGGTTCCAAATGTTTATAACCTGGACCACCTGGCACCTAAACAAGTCAAGTATTAAAGCCAAATAAATTAAAATAGAATATCAATAAAAAATTAAAATTTGACACAACAATTTGCTTACCACAGAGTCTACGACAAGCATTCCAGTTTCACCAGCTGGAGAAGCATGCCGTACTATCTACATAATTTAAAACCAGCGTAAATAATCCAGGGCATATTTAAAGAAAACTGCTACTCAATCAAGATAAGATTTAAAAACAACCTGCTCTGTCTCACTTCTGAGGCCAAGCCGACGAGTCTCGTCAAATCCTTTATGGAGAAATGTCACCTGTATCGTATTTTACACAAAGTATAAATAAAATGAGATTCCTTCATGTGCAAAGGAAACATCTATTTACAGAACCATGAGGAAAAAGCAAAGTTATCCAATATGGAAAACACATTTGTAATAAGCAGAAAAATAGAAAAAAGATGTGAGGAATAAAAGTTCTCTTAAAAGAAATAACTATAAAGATAAGTGTCTACATTCATCTTGTTATCCAATATCGAGAACACATCCATAAAGTCACATAGACACAATAAGTGCACTGAAAGAAATTTAGCAATGGGGACATTTCAAACAAATAAAGCGGACAAGTCTAGATAGGTACTAAACTAACTCCTGTAAAAATAGTTTTTCTCATAAATTAGTTCGGAGACAACAATGAAGAATATTTATTCTTTAATAATTACCTAATTACTAATAAGCCTCCCAGTGAGACATCATAACCAGATTTTAGAAAAAAATGAAATCACAACTCCATCCGTCAAACCCAGAGCAAAAATGGAGGGAGAATAACAGAGAAAATCCTTCAAAGATGGACGAACAAGAAATACAAGAAAGAGGATCATGAAATGGTTTGTGCTCAGAACAACAACATAATATAACCACTCAAATATCCTGGTCCAAAGAGAATGCAGCTTTATATCTTAAGACTGCATTTCAACTTTTGAGACATCAAAATAACAGGTAAATGCTCACAAACATCATTAAGTGTTAGAGATGTAATATAAAATCATTCATGTGTCTTCAACTAACAGCATAAGCTTTTAAGAGTGTTGGCCCATGGACTAAGGCTAATGGTCACTAGTAACAGCAAAATGTTTCAATTCACAGGGAAAACTCCATCGAAAAGAAATTTAATATAGTCAATATTATTAGCTAAAATGCAGCATCCAAAATATTCAAGCTTCAGTTTAATGAAATAGGTTTAATATTAAATCATGAGAAAAAAAAAAGGAAGAATCTGCGAAGAATAATCTCAAGGACAAACCTGAAGTGTACCACGAGTTATAGAAACTGCCTTCCATTTATCAACATAAGTTTCACTGTCCATTTGAAGAAACCTTAATGCCCTCACAACCTGAAAAGTAAATCACCACATCTTGTCATTTACTTGTTTTAAATTGAATTAGTTGCTCCCCACTAAAAGAGTCATGATTCTCCTGGGATACTATAGGAAGCATCAAACAAGTTCAGCAAATATATATCAAGAGCTCACTCGTTCTAGAGGTAAAAAGAATGCTGATGCGCTTGATGACTTGCTCCCAGCATTCAAGGCCACTGCCCTACCTTGCCAATCTATAACTGGGGAACCACTTGATCCTCCTTTGGTTCCAGATGCTGCCTGCAATGCAAAAATCAGAAGGTATATGGTTGCAATCAAGCAAAAGACAATCAGGCGTACTCATAATAAGGGTTTGACCATGTACAGTAATTATAAACCACCTCTCAAAAAGACTTAAAAAAAATCATGTCAAACAAATCACTCTATCTATAAATTAAGTTGTCAAACGAAGGCCTAACATGGATTTCATCCCAAAAAGTCAATTTTCTTTTCCTAGCATTTTTAGCTATGAAGCCCCCTTTCATTTCTACCTTACTTCCACATTTCAAAGTAATTAAAAACAGCTGAGGAAACCTTTAGCATAGCATTGGACACGTTATAAAGACACAGAAACAGTCCAAATACTACCTAGGAAAGAAATAAAGGATGTTAAAATATGAAGGAAAAAGAAAATAACAAATGAACAAGAAAAAACTGTGAATAAATTAATAAATATTTGTTCCCTCTTACTTGCATATAGAATGTGTTGAAGTCATTATACCCATCCCTGCATCAAATAGTAGTTTACTATCTAAATTCAATCTGTTCAAGAGAGGAGCCATATACAAAAAGAATTAAAAAAAATAAAGGTTACATATATCTGCAACATACTTCTTATAGTGAGGAGCATCCCTATCCAAACGAGCAAGGGTACCAGCCAAAATGGAAACCTGAAAGTATAAGCCAAAATAATTATACAAAATTTATTGGGTGAAAAATAATCAAAGTAATATCGGAAGTAATTGTCCTTTTGCATCAATTAAAAGCAAGTGGCAGTTTTTAAACACGGGACTTGACCATGAAAACATTCCAATTTGTATCAGTAAAGTTAAGAAAATAAATGCTAATGTGTCACTTTAGAAACCCAAGGCCAAGAACGTCTACAGAAGACAATAAACGGACGTAGCTAGACATAACTTGAAAACTGACCATGATGAGAAACGGAAAGGAAAAAAAAAACATATTTCTCAGTATGCACTATCATTGTGCTTTTGTGCAACAATGTTCTATTGACTGGGTCAATTTGCCAAGAAAACTATCTACCGGTAGCATTTGATGAGCGTTGATATAAGCACAGAAATCAGGTAGCCATTTTTCCTCCGAGAGTCAATTAAGACCAAAAAAAAAAAATGCAAGAGTGCAACAGGAAAGAGAGAGTGAGAGGAATTGAACTATCAAATGAAACATACTTGTCCGAAACATTTAAATCAAAAAACAATTAACATGAAACCCAAAGATGCAAATATTAAGGTAATACCTTCTCACCACTATCATTACCAACAACTCTGATTTCTAGTCCAACACAAGCAGCCTCGGGAGCAAGAGGTATCTCCTCATAGCTCAGAAACTGTACAGCACTAGGATCATAACAGAAGAACCCAAAGTCATGTACCTGCAGAAGTGAATGAATATAGTTAGTTGCATCAACAGGCACACAGAGAAAGAGGAACAAAAAATAATTCTGAGCAATAACTAATTAATCAAATAAATGAGAATTAAAAAAACACAAATCTCTCTGAGAACCAAAAGAATTAATTATAGAATTTAAACAAATGTACAAAATACAGTACGAGCAGGTCTACAGTACAAATTTTATAGGAAAAAATGTTTGTCATTTCAAATGACACAACTTTGTGTCATTTTTAATGAAACTACGTCATTTTGGTAAGTTTTTACATTCTCTCCTCTATTTTCTTTTTATTTCTAATTTTATAAATTAGAGAAAATGATAAAACACACCAAAACGACGTAGTTTCATTAAAAATGACACAAAGTTGTGTCATTTAAAATGACAAACACTAAACTCAATTTTATATCATAAAAAAGAAAAGAAATTGAGCTTGATAAAACAGAACAAAACGGAAATCATTTTGTGATTTCATAATTTAAATACAGACAAAGAAATTAAGTACGATGACAACAATGAAGGTGGCGTGAGAGTTGAGATGATAAAACACTCTTCATTTCAGTAACAACATTATCTTGATCCTCAATTTGACCTTAGGTAATAACAATATGAATATGCTTATGTATTATAAATACTAGTTATCCAAAAGCAACAGCGTAAACACCAATTATTTGCTTCTTCTTCTTTTTTTGCAGGTCCGTAACCGTAGCACACCAATCATAGTTCATAGTCATGATCGCACTTGAGCAACAAAGTTTCTAGGAAGCAGAATGCAAGTAGAAATGGCCAAAATTCCAAGGATTCTACTAGGATACCAATTTATTCGATTATTGGCAGCATATTGAAAAATCAAAACTAAGATAGCAAACTGAAAACAAAGTTCACTCACTGGATCTCTGTATATCGGATGCACCGGAACCTCTTCACGATTCAAAAACATGGCTTCTGCAACCACAGGTCCTGCGCATTTGAAACAGAAAGCGGAAACTCGACTCAACAGAAAGATCTCAACAAAAACCGAAAAGAAGAGAGTGAAATCAATAATAAAAGTATCGTACCTGGCTTGACGACGTGGCGATTGGTGAGAATAATACCGCGTTTCTTGTCGACGATGAAGCCGGTGGCGTAGCTGGCGCCGGCGGCCTCGGTGTCGAAGGAGCGAGTAGCAGTGGTTCGGAGGACGACGACGGCGGGAACGACCTTGTTGAGAGCTTTACGCCAATCCTCGGCCGTTGCAACGTTTTCCTGAAATGGCGGATCGATTTCCATGCACAAGTCATCGGGCTTAATGGTGGTGCCGGAGTCCAAACCCTCCGATCCTAAACCCAAACTCTCATCCACTGGATCTGCCATTCTTTCTTCACTTTGAGAGAGTGTGTGCTGAGTGATTAGTGTGTGTAGGGGTTGGGTTAGGTAAATAAGCAAAATCGCAACTCAACTCACAAGTCACAGGCTCTATAGCTAGCGTCTACTAGTCCACGCCAATGACCACTGGTAAATAAGCAAAGCTAAGTGAGGTCTGAGACTTGCAATATGCATACGTGTTTTGCGTTTCAGGAAGACCCAGTCAGAACACAGCAAATGAAAAATCAACTCCTCTAGCCAACCAAGGTGGGCACTTATGTTTGGTTGATACTTCACGACGTTCAAATTTTGCTGCCCCGATATAAAAATTTAATTTTGTCGATGGATAATATATAATTGAAGGATAAGTTATTCTACCTATCACTTCTGCGGTCTATCTTTTTCTGCCATCCTTCAATTTTAATATGTTAGATCAGAATCTTAAGAAGAGAGAAAGATAAATGTTAGTTAAGAGTCTGATCTAATGATGTTTTAGAGAATCTTAAGAAGAGAGAAAGATAAATGTTAGTTAAGAGTCTGATCTACTGATGTTTCAGAGTGATAGATAAATGTAGACAGAAAAAATGGTAGGTAGGTAGGTAAAAAAAATGGTAAGTAGAAAAAATGGTAGGTAAAATCATAAGAATAAGTTATTCTTCTTACTATTTTTTCTGTCTCATCTTTCTCTCTCTTCTTAAGATTGTAGGTAGAGAGGTAAGCAGAAAAAAATAGTAAGCAGATAATCTATCTTATATATAATTTTTTCCTAAAAATTCTTAAAGAAGTTGGGTAATTTTTCCTATTCCTAATGAAATATCGGTGTTTAATTCACTTAAACGTTCAAGTCTTATGGGAAAAAAACAATCAATTCTTCTCTTGTTTGAATGATAGATAGAAATCAAATCATTTTCTTACTAAGGCGGTTATACAAGTTATTAATTATCTCATTAATTATTATTGGATTAACTCAAAATTAACTATTGAAAAAGAAAAAAGTGCTGTTAATTTTGAATTAATCTAATAATAAGTAATTAAGTAATAAGCCTAAAATAATAATAAATATAATCTTGCCGATTAATTTTTACTGTATTTTTGTGACCAGTTGAATATTTTTTATTGGGCTTTTTACTATTTTCAGTGGGGGCATTATTTATAAAAAAAAAATTTACCTAAAGGTATATGAAAGTTTGAGTGGGAATCATATTTTTAATAGAAGAGATTATTTAATATTTGAGTTAAGATTATTTTAATATGTTACCTTACAGAAATTGTGAGACCCATGGAGTGGATCGTCACAATTTTTGTCGGATTCCTTTATTAATGTATAAACTTTCGCATGAAGTATTGTTTATTATGGAAATTTTGCCAAAGAAAGTGGCCAAATCACACACGGCAAGTTGTTTTTGATTTAAAGTGATGTAGACTGACATAGAATTCTACACAAGCCACGTGTGCGTACGTAATTTTTTTACGAAAAATTCACCAATCTCCTATGGTTTATTCTATACTCGTTTATGTCTATATGATTTTTTTTATTACATATATTCTTGTGATTTATGCAAGGATATGTTTTTTATTATATATATTCCTGTGATTTTTTACTTTTTACAAACTATATGGACATATGCGATAAACAAAAAATCACAGGAGTATAGGTGATTCAGAAATAAACCACAAGAATATTAATAAACTTTTCCATTTTTTTATGTTCCAAGGTCGTTTTTTATAGGTTTTATGGTATTTAAAGAAGGAAAAACATTTTATCACGTTGTATGAGAATTCAATTCTCATGTTCTGATCTTTAGATTTGCGTGCAAATTTTTTTTCTTTTTTTCTTTTTTTAATAAATGTAGGGTCCACCACTAGTTGAGTTACAACATAAGAATTTAATTCTTATGTAACATAAGAAAATTAAACCCCATTTAAAGAATTTTTTTTCTTCTTCTTAATTTTGTATGAAAATCATTTTTAATACTTGGAACTGATTCTTTCGTTTTACTATGCCTTTCTACTTTTAAAGTTACTATACATATATCCTTATATAGGTCTAATACTTTTGCAATTGGACAATATTGAAATTTTTGCTGCACTGTCCATTGAGCAATTATTTCTTTATTTTTTTTATTTTTTAAGTTAATTCAACCCCAATTATCTTTTTGATGCGAGTTAGTTTCTTCGATATTCTCGTAAGCTTCGACTTTTTAAGCCGACTATGGAACTATTACGGAATTTGATGAGGGTCAATGATGAAGATATATTCTCTTTACTAATATCAAAATGCATATGCAAGGGATCAAATTAATTGCTCGACTATTAAATCTGGATAGTTAATATTGTGATATTCAATAAAGGAAAAAATGTTTGAAATTTTAAATGACACAATATTGTATCATTTTAAATGAAAGTGTATAATTATTGATTTTTTATATTCTCTCTTCTTCATTTTTTCTCTTTCTAATTTTACGGATGAAAGAATATAAAAAATTATTAAATATACATCAAAATAATGTCATTTCATCTAAAATGACACAAAAAGATATCACGTAAAATAACAAACACTTTTCTTATAAATTCTTGCATATAATTAGTAGGTTAAAAAAAATTGCAGCAATTTCAGCGTGGTATTACTGTATCGAAGTTGTTAAACTAAGATGATCAAATTTAAATTCAATAACCATGTAGTCTAGTTGTTGCTGATTGTTATTCTGTTTCATTTATATTGGAGATTTGTTATAGATAAAGATAGATGTTTGTTTCCTTGTTGATAGATAGTTGTTGCTGATTGTTATTATGTTTCATGCATATTGGAGATTAGTTATAGATAAGGATAGATATTAGTTTCCATGTAAATAGATAGTTGTTGCTGATTTTTTTATTTATTTTTTCCAGTACAAAGTTGTTGCTGATTTAAATTCTCAGCTTTGTGTACTCCGTTACACGGACACGTGAATTTTTTTTAAATTTACGTGTTCGACACGGACACGCTCCGACACGTTCGGATACGCGGTCAACATTTGGGGATACGCTCAGACACTTTTTTTTTGTTTTTTTATTATTTTTAAATCTTAATTTTATTTTATTAACTAAATATAAAAGAAATAATTTATAAATTAATTTTTTTTGTTATAAAATTTGACATTAAAAATTAACAAACTACGAAAAATTATTTATATTTATATTTATGTTATGAAATTTAAATATTCAATTGGTTATATGACTTATTATGGACTCTTATATGTATTAAATATAAATCATATTACATATATTAAAATTTTTATTTAATATCAAAATGTGTCCCAACGTGTCCAAATATGACATTTTTTAGAATTAACGTGTCGGTGTGTCATGTTGTGTCCTGTCCCGTGTCCATGCATCATAGTTTGTGTATAAGAAGACCTCGTTAAAGGATGAAGTACTGTAGATGAAATATATCAATGAAGGAACCATTATTTTGACAGAAATATCTTATTCTTCTTCTTTTTTGGTAACATGACACTATGACAGAAATATCTTTACTTAGCCTTATAGCCACCAATTTCATGCTTTAATCTTTAGTCAGATTTTTATTATTAAAAAAAAAACTCATAATTATATACAACCGGTTAAAAAACTCATCATTAATTTTAAATTCAAGAATTTCGATTTTCATCGTAAAATTTTGAACAAAATAACCAATCTTTGAGTCTTGTTTCTTGATAATTCAATACTTGATTCAGAATTGTAAAAGATTGACATCTTTCTTTTGATAATCAGATGCTTTCTCAGATTTCACTCCTTCAAATAGTATTAAAAGAAAAAGAAAAAGCATTAAAACAAACTGAATTACATTCATTTTTAAGATGTTACAAACGTAAACATAGATTTACAAACCAATTCAAATCAGATCTTTTATATGAATTTTAAATATATAAAAAATTAAATTAATTTAATTTTAATTATTTCAATCAGAAATATGTTTTTTACTAAAGCAAGCACTAGACCTTATTATGACCCAGCACAACAGCATTACAAGAGGGAGGGGGGTTTGGAATATTAACATATCAAGTAACGAATCTCGGATCACACTAAAGTTCTTATCTCCTTTTGCCAGAATCACAGAACATCTATCTAGCAATGGACCATGTGGTCCCACTCTGTAGAAGCTTAATCTTATTAAGTCACTGCAGAAATGTAAGACAAGAAGAATTGGACAAAGAGCCTATACGACTTGTATATGATTTTAGACAAGAGTTTCTTTACAATCCAACTACAAAATCATGCTCTTTTATCTCTTACTACTTAGTTTATTGACAATGACCAGTCACTCGATACCTCCACAATGGCCTGGACTGGCATACTTTTACTATGTATTATTCTTTTTTTTTTCATTTTTGCTATGGAAATTTTATGTCACAAGCTCCAAGTGGAAAGAAAAAGAGAGTGGAATAAAAGGAAAAAAGATAACAAAGTTGGACAAGGGCAACTATCATTTTGAAGAAACTTGAGAAGCACAGCCAGCTATAGGAAGATCAGTTGGGGTGCATACGAGTGCCCTTTGTTGTAAATGTCTCAGACTCTGTTCCATGCTGACTTGGACCATCTCAGCTAGCATCTTCTTTGCTTTACCAGATTGATCATCACCATCAATCTTGGATATGATGTTGCATACTATATTCTCAAGTGTGTCAGGTTGAATTTCAGATCTTGGGTATGGTGATTCTCTTAGTAACTGCAAGAGGGTGCGTGCTTTTGACTGAGACTTGGCTGTTCCTTGAACAGTAAGCTCAAGAAGTCCTGGAATGACACCTTCTTTTAGAATTGGTTCCCTGTATTTACATCTATCACTTTGGCACATTGTCAATAGTGCTCCAACAGCATGCTCCCTACTTTGGGGAGTCCCATTTTCAAGAATTTCCACAACTGCAAGAACCCCACCTTCTTCAGATGTCAAGACAGTTCTGCCCTCATCATAATCCACCAACGATTCTATCAAAGCACAGCATTTTTCAGCTGTTTTAGAGGATTTTTTACAGGTTTTAAGAAGGCCAACTATAAAAGGGATTAGATTTGTCTCGAGAATGATGCTGAGATTATTGGGGTGTGTTGATAAATTAGAGAGAGCCATTACTGCATCAGCTTTAGCTTGTGGGCTTCCATCTCTAAGGATATCCACAAGAAGAGGAATGGCGCCACAAGCACTGATAATTGGTTTGTTGGTTGAAGAAGCAGATAGTGTGAGCAAAGATGCAGTTGCAGACTCCTGCAGATTTATATTTTGTGACTTGAGGAAACTAATTATCGGTTCTAATGCACCAGCCTCCACTATATTGATTTTATTCCTGCAAGATAAGGCCAGTTTAAGTAATGAATCCTAATGAATTATGAATGAAAGAAAATATCTAGCAAAAAGTTAATCAGAATTGAATCTGAAACATATGATCAGCAAAAGAAACAAAGGAAGATTAACTGCATGTTTAACTGTTATAACTTCATCAGCCATAAAGCAACATTACTATATATACCAGGCAAAAGAAATCAAAATCCTGGTTTATTTTGATAATGACAGTTCATTCTCAAGTCAATGGCGCTATGTTGATAATGGGGCAAATTTGGGCCCTCAAAACACCTCCGCAAGGACTGATGGAAGAAGGAGAGAGAGAGAGACGTAAAAGAAGTACTGTCTCTTCTTCTGAAAAGCATCTAGAATGACAACAATTAAGCATTAAAAAAATGCCAAAACAAGAATACTTAGACTAGGCTTTTTTTGCATAGGTGAAAGATGAGGTAGAATTTTTTTGGAATGAAAATCACTTTCCACTAGCACGGTAGAACAAAAAAGTAGGAAGGCTGAAAGTAGAGTGCAACTCATTTACACTCCACCCCACGAATTTTAGCTACTCCTATAGCATGAAAGTGAGATGAAAGCGATTTTTCACCCTCTATCCAAACACCAATGAGTGAAAATCAAAACCTTCTACCCCACTCTATATTCAATCCCGTCCTTATTTTTTACCTACCGATTCTCCATACACTCAAACAAGCACATACTTAATGAAAATAGGAGTAGGAAAAAAGTCATTCAGTGGTTGAACACCACCTTGAATGCAGGTATCTGAACCATCTCCATAAAGATTAAGCATAGGATACTTAACTCACTAATTTATTGAAAGAAAAAGTCAAATAAGATAATAACAACTACAATTCTTCCAACTCTACGTCCTAAAAAGTCATTAAAGCATGCTGAATAGCTTTCTTTATCTAATTCGTTTACTGTTTTCCATGTTTGATAAACATGACATTATTCATCATCTACAAGACCGGATTCAGGGTATATGAGACAGATATCTATTGTTTTAACTAGCTCTTCTTTATGCACAAATATTTTGTTACAAAAAAAAAAAAGCGACAGCAAAAAATAAAGGAATTACAACTATTCCATTTGCTAGAAGTTGAAACTTGACCAGCAACAATAAATGATATAAATATTACTTCAGGAAGAAGACATAAGCGAAAAAGGAAAAGAAACAAAAGGTAAAAAAGAAAGTACACCATGAGAACCAAAGCAAAATCCACCTTCCAATAGGATAAGTTTCGACTATAAAGCATCCAATTCTTTCTTGTGATATAGTATTCGTGGATTCAAGCTATCAGAAACAACTATCATTCATAAATCAACTTAATGGACATTCTAGTACTCAAAGGATAACACAGTATTTACCACGAAGAAAATAAAATGGAAAATATAACCGGAAAATACCAATTTAAAGGCTCATTTCCTCTTTCCATATCCAGATATTTTCAAGAACTCAATCAACAACAGAAATATTTCACCCTTGCAATCTAAGCCGTGAAAAAGTGGTTTTTCTTATTTTCTGCCAAAGATGGTATTACCCCAAAAAAACAGATGTCTAGCTAGATTATGAAAACGAATATCCAACTATCCCACCCAAAAAAAACAAAAAAAAAATCATGTATTTTCCCACCAACCTATCACACTCAAATAGAAAGAAAAAAAAAAAGGAAGAAAAAGAAAATAAAGGAACGGAATAAAAAACAGAATCTCGAGGTATCACACCATACACAAATGCATCAAATCCGAAATTAGCAATATTTTATGTCAATTTTATATGAATCCCCAACTGGGTGACTTCAACGCATCGCGTATGTCTTATAAAGCACACGAATTCCAAAAAATCGAAAGCGCATCAAACAACAACAAAAAAACAATAAAAAAAATTAAAAATAAAAATCAACCCCACTATAAATAAATTAAACCCCATAAAAAAAATTGATTTTTTGGGAATAAGGGAAAGGAAAAGTTAGTTACTTTTCATCTTTGACGGCTAGGTTAAGCAAGGCGAGGAGAGCAGGTTCGTGTGACTCGGGCGAGTCGACTCGGAGCATGGAGACGAGTGGACCGACAGCTTCAGAAAGCTGTCGGCGACAGCGGTGGGAGGTTTTGGTGAGCCGCCGGATATCACGAGCGGCTTGGAGGCGCAGCTCGGGCTCGCCGGAGTTGAGTAACTGCATGGCTCGGCGCACGGCTAACGGCGTTCGTGGCTCCTCGGCTTCGAAATTAATGGCGTCGGCGCTATGCCCTTCAGAAGAAGAAGACGAAGAAGAAGGAGAATGAGGACTCTCCATTGATGGGGGTAGTGAGAGAAAGTTAGATAGATATAGAGAGAGAGAGAAGAAAAAATCTGCGTGTAATTTAAGAGGCTGAGAAACGCAGAGACAGATGAGGCGTTAAGCAACAGTTTTAACTTATAAGACAAAGGTCACATGGAGAGAGAAAGAAAGAAAGAGTGATGTGTAGAGAGAGAGAGAGAAAGAGTAGTTGTTGGTTTTGGTAGTTTGGTAAAAACTTTAGAAGAAGCTTTTCTTTGTGAATTTATTTATTTATTTATTCAGTTATTATTAATTATAGAAATAACATCTGTCATTTTAAAAGATATAAGCTTATATCATTTTAGATCTTAATCGTTGATTTTTGTCCATCAACGATTTAAATTTATTGGTTTAAAATTATTAATAATAAATTTGGCCCATTAAATTTGACCCAATAAATTATAACCGTTGATAGACGAAAATCAACGGTTAGGATCTAAAATGATATAAGTGTATATCCTTTAAAAGGATAAATGTTTTTCCCATTATTATTTGAGAGATGTTATTCTATTTTTTTTATATCTATCTTATCTTTTGTTCTCCAACACCTTAAGATCATATTTTAACTAATATTTATCATTTAATTTTTCTCTTAAGATTGTGATCTTAGCATAAAAGAGTTGTAAGTAAAGTACCCATAACAAAAATAACACATCCCTATTTATTTTATTTTACTTTTTTAATATTTTATTTATGTTGGCTCTAAGTTTCAGTTGGTCTAGTCTTCAATCAATGTGTTCTACACTACTTTTGTAGGCCTTGGGACAGGTCCTGTATTATTATAATTAACTTTATTGGAGATTTGCGAAATGCCCAATATATACCACACACGTGTTTTAAATTGCTTTCATATTTTAAGGGGCTAAGGTGTGAGACCTATTTATCACCTTTTTGAATGATGTAATGGATTCAATTATTATTATCGTGCGTGTATATCATACACAGTTACACACCACATATTAAACAAATTAATTACTCATAAATTAGTAATCTTATAAATGATATTTATTTATGTTTAATAAAATATATTATTTTTTAAAATAAAAATTTGGAATATAATATTAACTAACTTTTAAATTTTATGAATTTTTTTTATAAATTCTAATTTACTTTATGAGCTTTCAATCCAACTGTTGGATGGATAAAATTGAATATTTATAAAAAATATTAATTGATATAAGTATGATAAAATTTACATCTAAAATAAGTGAATTTCGAAAGGTGTATTAATTTATATTAGCGTAAGTTAAATTTACTTATATTTTTAATAATTTTTTTATCAAATAATTAACTTAGATTGAAAGTTGTCTCCACATAAACCATTTTTATAAAATTGTATATTATTCTAATTTTTTTTAATAATTCATGGAAATATATTAATATTAATATAATAAATATTTTTAAAACTCGTAAAAATAAAAATCACTTAATTATACTCTTATTATTCGTAAGTTTTTATAAAATTTGACACAAGTTGCTTACCAAAAAAAAAAAATTTGACACAAGTAATATAATATATGATTTAATAGTTTGATAGATAAAAATCATATTATGCATATAGAAAATAATAAATTTTATATGGTAGATTGCATGGAATTCAATGTGTGATATGATAAAATCATAAAGATTTGAAAATTGAGCTAATGTTTTGATATCTTACTCATTGTGAAGGTAAATCCACAAGATTTGGTGCTAAGAAGTGATAAAGGAATCATAACAAAGATTTGAAGCCCAATCTGCAGGATCTTAGAGGGAAAAAAGGAAACAAATATGATTTGATTGAGAATAGATAGAAATCCATGGGGAGATTTGATGAGGAATTAAAAAAAGATGTGGCTTCTAAGGTTATAAATAGGGAGCTCAGGGTCAAAGAACTCATTCACAGACACACCACGGGAAATACACAGAGACCCAAAGGAGGAATCCGGTTGTGGAGCGTTGCAGCACTAGGGAACCAAGTCAACATCACACAAATGGAGGCTTGGGGAACTATTTTCTTTCTTATTGCTTTTAAATTCAGTATGTTAGGCTAAGTTTTTCTGTAGTTAGAAGTAGATTAAACCCAATTGAATTCTTATGTTTATGAATTAAATTGTCTCTGAATTGTTCTCTTTTTATATTTGAATAAATTTTTCTGTCTTTAATGCTTTCTATGAGTTTTCTCCTTATAGATTGATTTAGGGGAATTGTATGACAATAGGGATGTTGGTGCATGAACCCTGGTTTGATAAATTTATCACAATCCTTGTGATATAGGGATAGACATAGGGAAATTGTGCAATCTTTAAATTCTTGATTTTAATGCATGTTTTCTTGGGGAATAATCGGAGAACTAGAGTTCTTTCAAGATCACATAGATTTAAGATAACAAAGAATTGAGCCCTAATTAACTTATAAATAATTGATTGGCATTATATTAAGAGCAGATTTTTGACAGTTTAATTCATAGCATATAGAGGAGATTGGAGGAAGTCGAAACTCTAACTACACTTGTTTTTAATCTTTAAATCAATCATCTTTTCAATTGTTTTTAATTCTAAAATTTAATTTGCATGTTTTAATTGTTTTCAATTTCAATTCTCTTAATCTCAATCTTGATTGTCCAACTAAATCGTGATTAGTGAACTAGTGTTTGAAAACGCAATCCTCGTGAACGATTTCATACTCCGGTACACTTTTATTACTTAACGATCGGTGCACTTGCCGAGTCGCAACAAGTTTTTGGCGCCGTTAGCATATAGAGGAGACTGGAGGAAGTCGAAACTCTAACTACACTTGTTTTTAATCTTTAAATCAATCATCTTTTCAATTGTTTTTAATTCTAAAATTTAATTTGCATGTTTTAATTGTTTTCAATTTCAATTCTCTTAATCTCAATCTTGATTGTCCAACTAAATCGTGATTAGTGAACTGGTGTTTGAAAACGCAATCCTCGTGGGAACGATTTCGTACTCCGGTACACTTTTATTACTTAACGACCGGTGCACTTGCCGAGTCGCAACAAGTTTTGGCGTCGTTACCGGGGAATAAATCCTTCAACATTAGAGGTAACTAAAAACTGTTTAGATTGAACGTTTTAAATTTCTGCAATTTAAATTCTGCATTAATTTTTTTAACTTTTTTTAATTTTAAAAAAAATAAATTAATTTTTAATTTTTTTTTAATTTCAAAAACTTGTTGCGACTCGGCAAATGCACCGGTCGTTAAGTAATAAAAGTGTACCGGAGTACGAGATCGTTACCACGAGAATTAGATTTTCAAACACTAGTTCACTAATTACGGTTTAGTTGGACAATCAAGATTAAAAGAATTGAAATTGAAAATAATTAATAACATGCAAATTAAATTTCAGAATTAAAAATAATTGAAAAGATGATTGATTTAAAGATTAAAAACAAGTGTAGTTAGAGTTTCGACTTCCCTCAATCTCCTTTATATGCTATGAATTAAACTATCAAGAATCTGCTCTTAATATAATGTCAATCAATTCTTTTTAAGTTAATTAGGGCTCAATTTCTTGTTACCCTAAATCTATGTGATCTTGAAAGAACTCTAGTTCCCCTATTATTCTCCAAGAAAACATGCATTAAGATCAAGAATTTAAAGATTGCATAATTGTCCTACGTCTATCCCTAGATCACAAGGATTGTGATAAATTTATCAAATCAGGATTCATGCACCAACATCTTTGTTGTCATACAATTCCCCTAAATCAATATATAAGAAGCAAACTCGTAGAAAGCATTAAAGACAGATAAATTTATTCAAATATAAAAAGAGAAGAATTCAGAGACAATTTAATTCATAAACATAAGGATTCAATTGGGTGCCATCTACCCCTAACTACATAAAATCTTAGCCTAGCATACTGAATTTAAAAGCAATAAGAAAGAAAGTAGTTCCCCAAGCCTCCATTGGTGTGATGTTGACTTGGTTCCCCAATGCTCCAACGCTCCGCAACAGGATTCCTCCTTTGGGTCTCTATGTATTTCCCATGGTGTGTCTGTGAATGAGTTCTTTGACCCTGAGCTCCCTATTTATAACCTTAGAAATCACATCTTTTTTTAATTCTTCATCAAATCTCCTCATGGATCTCTATCTATTCTCAGTCAAATTTCCTTTTTTTCCTCTAAAATCCTACAGATTGGGCTTCAAATTTTTGTTATGATTGTTCTATCACTTCTTAGCACCAAATCTTGTGGATTTACCTTCGCAATGAGCAAGATATCAAAACATTAGCTCAATTTTCAAATCTTTATGATTTTATCATATAACACCTTGAATTTCATGCAATCTACCATATAATTCTTGTATAATTTAGCCTAAAAATATAGTAAACCAAGAGTTTATTATCAAAAAAATGAATATTAATCTGGTTGAAATAAAAAAAAAACAATATTCTTATTAAATTTGCCTATACCAGTTCATTATAATAATATACTGAATATTTAAACTGTTTAACTTTATCAAAAAAATTGCATGACAAAAGCAACTTTAATAGTAAAAAAAAAATGTAAGTCTTTACACATGTTATCATTTCTATCATCTTAAATATAATATTATTGTAAAAATTGACAATAACGAATAAAAAATTGCATTGTTTATTAGGAATTGAAGTAGTCATCTATTAAAGCTACTACAAACAAATTAGTGTTTTTTACAAATTAAATAATATATATATATATATATATATGGGAATATTTTTCTCGTGCAAGGAGAAATGTTTCTTTCTCTTGCACATATATAAAAAATCGTGATAACATGTTTTTTTGTTATTAAGTGATGGGACCCACTTGAAAATTCGATGTCTATAACATGAGAGATTAATTTTCCTGTTGAATTATAGTAGATTTCCTATATATATGGGTTCAATTTTTCTTTAACCGCTTTACGAGCAGCACTGACGAAATTTCATATATATATATATATATATATATGTTGAAATATTTAATATGGGAAATTATAACTATATAAAAGGTGAAAACATTAAATATGAGGAATCATAACCATACATATGTCATTGTTGCACTTAGAGTAACTATATATATATATATATATGGGAAAAACATTTC